TATACAGAAATAGCAATGGTTGGAAATAATTAATATTTAATATCAAAACATAAATTATCCGGTAGAAAAAAATGAAATATATTATATTATGACAGTATGACCAGTCAGTGTCAACGAGAATATGTGCTTCAAACTTTAATAAAAATCTTAAACATATAAATATACTGCATTTTTTGATGACTTTAAGCTAAAATATAATAGTGCCAAAATAGAACTATATTAAGGTAATAATGTGCAGAGAAAATGTTATATACATGTTAAGAATCAAACATTATCAATTCATAATCTCTTTGGAGTGACAATTGTTGAACATTGTTCACATGAAAATAGGCTTCAAACTTAAATGACAAACCTCTATGTCCCAAAATTTACTATATATAGTGACTAACAAACAAAACAATAAAGATGTAGGTAAGATAGTTGTGTTAAATTATTTATCTCCAGAGAATTCTGCCTTAACAGGTTTACAATAGCCCTTTTCAGTGTTAAATTGTAAGAGCACTGGAAGAACAAGACTTCTATGATGTATAGTGTTAAAATAGAACTGGAAGGTAAAGGCTTGCATACCTGGCACAGTCTACAGTTAAGGTCATTAACTGGGACACAGCGTCGCGCAGACGGCAGAAATCTAGTCTGCTACTTATTGTGTAAAATCTTATCAGCACGTAAATAAAAGCTAAGCTTTGTAATTGTTAAAACACCATGAATCCACTTTTAAATATAAATGATTAGAAAACGATAAAGTAACTAATTTTTGATTTTTAACTATGAATTGTAGTATTCGTATCGACTTAGATTACCCTTACTGAATATCAGATTAGCAACAATAGCTTTAACATCATATGTACATACTATGTAAATTTGTGTAATTATATCTTGATTGAATTTTCAAATTGAATAGCACAACCTTTTAATACATATTTTAATTAACCTAATATAAATATATTTATGAATTAATATATTGATCCATTGAATTATTGATTTATTATTTCATCAATGTGTTAATGTGTCAATGGTTCTGTATTTTGATTCAGAAATTTATTCCTTGTCTTTTCCTTTTTCTTGTTTTTAAAAATAAATAAATAAAATCAAATAAACAAAAATAATGCTTTTAATTATCTAAGAATTTTTTGTGCTGTTCCATGATTAAAATGTATGTGCAGTGTATTATGATTATATATTTATTGAATAAACATATTTACAAGAAAAAAAAAAAAAAAAAAAAAAGACGCTGGCTCGCTAGCCTGGAGGTCGGGTGTTCGATCCCTACATTGGCCGAGAAAGTTCATCCGGATTTTCCGACGTGGTGTCCCCTTGTTAGTGGTGCCGAACGGAGGGCCTGGCAAGAGCAGCTGTCCAGTCCTTCGGATGTGACGAAAAACCGAGGTCCCGTGTATATATTGGAATGCATGTAAAAGATCCATTGGCAGTTGGAATTTGATAAAACAGTAGGCGATAGTGCCGCTGCCCGGGCAAAATTTCCCTCATCGCACACTGTATGGCGTATGCCCTTCTTCATAAGCCCAGTATAGGAGCAGAACAGTAGGACGTTAAACCCCATTTCAATTCATTTCATTTACATGCAATACTTGATTGTTTGTAAAATGCAAAGAAGGAGCATTTTGCCCGGGCAGCGTTTGTCTATGCTTCTTCAATTTGAAACTGTTGTTGTTAACCTTGAAAATTCAGTGTACATACAAACCTTTTTAAAATACCGGTAGCACATTTGAAATTGGCAAAAGGTCTGAATTTCCATTTGTTTTAGTTTTTTCTCTGTACATCTCTTGCAAAATGTGGGCGCATCTTGCATGCATGGTAACCGCTGGTTTAATTTTTGTAATTAATTAAAATTGGTATTTTCACACTGGATGGGCTATACGGTTTAAAAATAGTTAGGGAATTAAAAATAAATATAAACTGTGATGAATAAGATCGGTTTGAATATACTTGTCTCTGGTTAAAACTTTTTTCTTTTTTAGAAATCCCTAGCAATTAATCCTACCAGGTTAGAATTGACACTGTCACGTACTTTTAAGTTTTCTACATACAATAAATTGAAAGTGAAAGTAGACCAAAATTATCTATTTGTTTCTTAGAAACCCAGGTTACACGTCACGAGTTTCTTCTCGAGGTGAATTAGAGAATCGGGATATACATGTATATGGTAAACAAAATAAAAGGGAAGTATGTATCATCATCTTCAGTTTATAACGTAGTCTTGTATAATGTACTCATATTGATATATGGTTATCCTCGATGAGTAAAATGGGCGACTATTTTCTCTTGTCTACATTTGAGCGCGTACACATCTCGGTTCAGAGAATGCTGTTACTGATCAAAATGGCATTCTGATGGATATCTGCTTCACTTGACAGTGATATCGCTGACAAGAAGTATGGGAAAATGTTGATTCCGTGCTTGTGGTTCAAACAAAACTATTACCCCGCGAGAGAATTGTACAAAGTAATTTTAGAGCGATCTACGGATGACCATTGGGGTCAATCAAATGAAACAATATTGTATTATCTAGTAATTACAAGATAGCTATTGCTATTACAAAATAACTAATTACAGAGAAGCCTATGAGTAATTTATATCAAGGTCGCCATACATTGATTTATCGAATAGCCAGGCCAATTACTTTATTTTATGATACCGAATCGGCATATTAATATTATTCGTTGTTTTCATGCCTCCATTAAAATCACAAAGTTCACACCACCATTAACGTCATATTCCCACCAAATTCGTAAACGCGTTAATATCATTTATTAATATCATTCACCAATTTCATGCTCTCGTTAAAGCCACAGAGTGCTATTTATAGTTTTCGGAAATTTCTTTAAATGATTTTTGGCCATTTTTGTTTTCCTTTGTTTTGACTTTACAAAGTATATATATTTTGCAGTGGTTGCCATGTTTAACGATTGTTGTCTGCAGAAGTTGCCAAGTTGAACGACTCTTTTCAGTTCAGTAGAAAATTTACGGCCAAAAAAACTCATGGTTCTCGCGAACCGACGAAATCTGAGATTCTTAAGTTTTGAGACACATGCGTTGAAATTTGTGCTCTGTTGTTATCGCTGTGGGCATCAAATAATAACATTTATTTGTGATTTAATATTTCATACATATACATCAACACACTATCCACCATAAGCTAATTAGTTCATTTGTTATTTGTGATACCTTTCAGATAAGGATCAGAGTTCATGATCGCCTCATTCGCCATTTCGTACGAAAAAATAAAATGGTACGATTCACAAAAAATCAAAACGATCGGTTAATATTTGTTATTTAAGGCGGCATCGTGGAAGATTAGTTACAGATCTGACAGTTCTCACTATAATAGTTAACAAGTACATAATGTACAGGAGATATGCTGAATATTTCAGTCAAATTACTTCAATCTGAGTCGAGAAATCAAAATTTTAATAACACTGTAGGCTCGATTGTCATTGTTACCGTTGTTAAGTTAATAAACAATGTCTCGATTATCCATTTTTACGGTTAATCATCAACGCAGATCTGATTCGAATCTATTTAAAATAGGGGGCATCCGATGACATCGAGAGTTGATTATTGTCTTTCATGTTAATAAATGTCTAATTAATAGTTTAGATAACATTTAAGACCTAAAGAAAGACCTGCAATAGGAAGATTGATCTCTTGCATAATGTATGTTTAATAAAAACCCATTGATGTATATTTAGGTAAATTTTATCACATTTTTATCAGTTTTGTTTTCGTTCGTTTTAACTTTTGGCATATATCCCTTTTAAACACGCCGTTGCCATCTTAACGTTTCGCGGAACCTCTTTTGTGCGACTCTATTTAATTCGAATGAATCCAAACCTGAAAATGATCTTTCGTTGCGATCTTGATTTTGATTTGTGTACAATTTGTGTACATTATAGCTTGGGTTAACAAAATTATCTAAAAAAAAATGTAAACGGCGTTCCGCGGCTATAAGGAGAGAATGAAATTAATGAATCATTAATAAATGATATCAATAAGAGTATGGAGTTGGTGGGAGGATGAATGTTTTTTTATGAGAATGGTATTGATGGAAGCATGGCCTGAATTTGCCAATCCCGTAACATAAAAAAGCACTTTGTTGGCCTACCTATCCGATAAATCAGTGTAGGGTGACCTTGGAATTAATTAGACACTTTTTTGTCATATGGTTGACCATAATTGGGGGCTATACTATATACCGGAAAAGACCGGAAAACTACTGGAAAACACCACGTTATACTGAATACCGGAAAACACCGGAAAAACACTAAATACCGGAAAACACACTAAATACCGGAAACCACCCTAAATAGGTAACCCGGAGAAGGGCTATACTATAAACCGGAAACTAACCCTAACCCTGACCCTAACCCAGGCACAAAGAGGACCAGGCTACCGGTTACCTATTTAGGGTGCCAGTCTCCGGGTTAGCTATTTAGGGTATTTTCCGGTATTTAGTGTGTTTTCCGGTATTTAGTGTTTTTTCCGGTTTTTTCCGGTATTCAGTATAAAATGTTTTTTTCCGGTTGTTTCCGGTGTTTTCCGGTGCTTTCCGGTATATAGTATTGCCGATAATGGGCTTCTCCGCATCTTGTAATTACAAGACAGTTATCGTTTTATAACAACATAGGTATCTTGTAATAACAACACAGGTATCTTGTAATAACAAAATGGTTATATAAAATAGTTGATTGTAATAACATGATGGGTATCTTGTAATAACGACAAAGCTATATTGTAATAACAAGATAATTGTTTTGTAATAACAAGATAATTGTTTTGTAATAACAAGATAGTTATTTTGTAATAACAAGATAGTTATTTTGTAATAACAAGATAGTTATTTTGTAATAACAAGATAGTTATTTTGTAATAACAAGATAGTTATTTTGTAATAACGAGATAGCTATCTTGTAACAGCACGATAATCAGAATATTTCCTTTTCGTTTGATTGGCCCTAATGGTCTTCCGTAGCCATCAGCAATTCCCTATCGTGTAAGAGTATAGGATTTAAACACGGGTCGGCATTGTAAATATTAACTTCATTTAAATTAACAACAAGAATATATATGATTTAACTACATGAAACCAAACACACACCCGAAGCAACAACACCCTCGCTCGCTCTCCGGCTCTTTGCCAACTTCATTATGTATATATTGTACATGCGAATATTAATGGGAATATATATCATCTTTAATTATCCGATATCACGATAAGTAGATTAAATGGTACGTAAAGCTAACATTACAAGATTATCTTTCATCACATCCATCTAAAAATGTATGCATTTGGTAAAAGCTATATCCGGCTGAAAATCTAACCTGTTTATTTTTCAGAAAATGAAGAAAGGATCCATATTATGTGTATGTGTTTTGATGGTATTAATTTCTGAAGTAGAATGTTATGGTACAGGTAATTTGTTTTTAGTTCCACTTCCAAACGGTAAAACAGTACCAAACTTGGTAGGAGGTAGGATTTAAGCAGTATAATTAATACTTCGTTTCGTTTTAAAATCACATAAAACCACTTCACGCTAACGACTGTACAATTCATACAACGATGGGTTTAGTTGTCGAGATATGCATGGCCAACATCATTCCATTAGTTGACATGTGTAGCTGACATTAGGCCAGTATTTGCTAAATAAAATTTGCGATAATATTCAATCGTTATTTAAGTGTAGCGATATCTTGATTGCCACCCTGCACGTTTCAAGTCAGTAGCTTGAAGCGTATATATGGTATTAGTGTCAGTGGCTTGTGGCACGAAGTAACAGTATATTGTCGCATACATAATATATTATGTCAACGCTTGGGCGACATAATATATTGTGTTGACGCTCCAAGCGTGTTAGCATATTAAACCTGTAGACTCAGTGGAATGTACGCGTCATCAGAGCGGATCCAGGGGTTGGACCATGGGGACCGGTCCACCCCCTTAACAATAGAAAGTGTCCCTGTAAATAAAAGAGGGCATCCTTATCAGAAAAAGGGCACCTGTGATGTCAGAATTTCAAAAAAGGGCACTTTTCTTTCGGATTAGGGTTAGGGTTAGGGTTAGGGTTAGGACACAGAAAAGAGAGAAAAAACAGAAAAGAAAAAAACAATCGAAACTTACCGATTCCATGATGGAAAATACCGCCAAAATATGTCTCCAAAGCATTCATTGGTTATCAAAGCGCCAATTAAATCTATCGTTGCAAGTTCATGCCTAGTCACCTCCATCCTAGTTCCAAGCGTTGACATAATATATTATATCGCCCAAGCGTTGACATAATATATTATGTATGCGACAATATACTGTTACTTCGTGCCACAGGCCACTGACACTAATACCATATATACGCTTCAAGCTACTGACTTGAAACGTATCGCCTGTGATTGCAATGTCATATACAATAAATTAAATTTATCAAACAATCTAGTCTTCAATAGATATAATCAATGCATAGATGAATAATATGTTATATATCCACAGTTTTGTTTTCATTATTCTGGAAACGGCGGGCTGTATAATAACATCCCGGATTCTATAAAAATATACTCATTCAAAATGTCTTTGCCAAGGATTTTAGCACTTTGATCGGAATGCGAATTCTTGTAAAATCACTATAGTTCTGCCCTTGGCTTAAGAAATATCGCGACGATTTTGGGTTTGGTTTTTTTGGGGGGGGAGGTGGGGGTGGGATTGGTTGGAGAATTTTCGTAGGCAATATAGCGTTTTTTATTGACAAGCTTCGGTGGCTTCATGGGTAACTTGCTAGAATCAGGATATTTCCCGGGCCTACGATACGAATGGATTTGCAACGATTTATCTGTGGGAAGTTTTCAGGAAAGTTTCTGTCGCGAAGGACTAGAGGGCCTAAAACTGATTACTCCCGCCTAGATGATCGATCAAAAGACTACAGGGTTATACATATACCTTGAATTTTCCGGATGATAAAACGGCATTTAACTTAAATATGTTTGTTATTTTAGGTCTTGGAATGTATAATTCAGCAACAGGTGTTTTAATGCACCTATTTGAACTCATAAAGAACGTCGCCCAAATGGTCGGGCGTAGTGTAACAAATTACATAGCGACTTCCTGGACAGTTGAATCAGTATGCGGGACGTACTTCTATTTAAAGAAGTGCACAGATATGGCAAATAACTGTGGTTACATCTGTGATATATTAAGTCCTATCTGCGGTGCAATGGCACCCATATCAGATATTACCACAAAACTTTTGTGTGACAAAGACGCCACATTTTATTCAGTTATGAAAGACGAACTCATAAAAGCAGTATTAAATTTTGTGAAGAAAAGGTATTTTAAATGATTAACAGCGGGGCAGAGACTGGGTGGTCACTTTTAAACATGCTACTTTGTCTATTACAAAATTATACAAATAAAGAACCCCGGGGAAGAACGATCTAAGTCACTTTTTCAACGAACCCCATTTAATGGCGCCATCTGGTAGCAAATTGTATAAGATTTCTGTGGAACAATCAATTTCAGGTAAAAATGATCGGAGTCACATCGAACCAAGGCCCTTCTGAAATGGCCTCCCGGATAAATGCAAGTCCATCGTATTTATTTGACCTTAATTTGGCTGAAAAGTGGAAATCAGTTGTTGTACTGGTAATTATGATTCGTATTAAACATCATTTTGAAGTTGTAATTAAACCCACTCGTTGTTCTGTTCGCGTCAAGCATTCTCGTCCAAAGTCTGTTTTGCCTTTTATGCGAAAAGACAAAAATGTGACTTAGATCGTTCTTCCCCTGGACTCTTCAAATATATTTACCAGAAAAAATATAAAGATAACCTTCTTTGTCCATTACGTAAAAATTAAACCAGCGGTTACCATGCATGCAAGATGCGCCCACATTTTGCAATATCATTGATACGGATTCGAAATGTAATATTTACTACCCTATGTTGTTTAATCAATTTTAGACACATTAATTTCCAGTCGTATCAAACATCATTGATAGGGACCTGCCATTTTATTGATTCCGAAATTATTTGTTAAACAAAATAAGAGGGGGGGGGGTGCGTAGGGGACTTTCGGAGTGTGTTCATAGCTGAAGGCAATACTGGGCCTATTTTTAATCATCTAGGCCCCGATCCCATTAGTGATGCCAAACGGATGAATACGCGATAAGGTCAATAACAGCTGCAAATCGCTTTCTTCACCTCATAAAAAAAAAAACCTGCACTTATTGGGATGGCGTGCTACACCAATGCAGTGATTTTCTGTCATCTGATTTGAGGTTTTATATAATCCCCTTCCCACTCTAATAAAATAAATTGGAAATCTTCTGAAATCGCTTCTAAACTATCGCTTCAGTAATCTATAAGTATTGGTGGGTGTCGTACACGACGCAATGCATGCTTGTTCGATACCTACCGACACCACTTCTTATTCAAGGAATTAACATAGCTGACTCACTTTTGTCCTGCTATTATTATTCTAGATTTTTTGAATATAATACCAATAATTCAATTTTGGGCGCAAAATGTTTCATTATTTTGAGAAAACCAATAATTAATCAACACTTTCCTATTATCTCTTTTGACGAGTCTTATTGTATCTAATCTGATGTAATGAGTGTAATGAGTACAGCTGTATTTTTGTGACTTGTAGAAAGATACTATGCCAATAAGTCGACATCTCGACGTTAGGATAAAAATAACACGATGATACGACAGAGTTAAGTGTCGTATGATTGCGCCAATACTGTCTTGATGTCGTGTTGTCGCGTTATGAAAAGGGCGAGATTTAATATGGCCACTATCAGCCACCATAATTTTGAGAGATGCTATATGTAAATTTTGTACATTTTTCATCACATGGCAGTAAAAAATTATATTTTTGAAAAAAATTCCAAATTATGAGTGTTTTCTATGTAGTTTCTTTGTAACTTGTCTAATTTTTTCACAGAACTCAGATACTGCCTTTAATAAGAAAGATTTTTAAATTTTAGCACAAAAGGCCTATGGACCTGAGATGCACCGGTGTACATAAAGCAGCATGTGTACTTAAAGGGCCATCATTTTTACAGTTATTCTTTGATTTTGATTTTCTTTCACCGGCATGTTGCCAGAACACATGGGAAGGAAATAAAAGGGGCCTTTTGGTGATACCTGAAGTTTCACCCCTATATAGGACACAGATCACCAAATATTCCTACGCCGTCACCCACGGAACAAGGGCCAAAGCTATTTTAGTCTTCCTCTCCCGTTTCCTTTTTCCCCCTTTTGCATGGCGATTTTTGTTGACTTTTTATTGTAGAATCGAGGAAAAGGGTTTGAAAATACATTTTCTGCCAGGTTTTGGTGAATATTCATAATTTTGATGCGGAAGGATACAAGAGTTGAGAGGTTGGTTAGGTTGAAATGTAGGGCCTGAAATTGCATGTTTACTTGTCTCTACTTCCAGCTTGTGTATCTCAAGTTTTTCATGAAGAACCTCATACGTGCTTTTGGGCAAGTGGTTGCCACATGTTGCTCCATCTGTGGTAGAAAGCGTTTTACCCAACGAAAATTTGGGAAAAAGTTAGAGCCGGTCTAAGATACGAGAATTAACATTGGAGTCAATGGGGAAATCTTTAGTGATCTGTGTCCATTTCTGAACATTGTATCAATTGTTAATAGAGTTAACCCACTTGCTTTATGAAATCATGTTACCGCAATGGATTGTTTAAAGCAGCAATACTGTTCTTAATTTATAAAAACAAAACACGTCCAGCCTTTGCATGGAGTTTAAACATGTTATATAATGGTCATCTACAAACTTATGGAATCTTATAAACCTCCAAATTTCTCAAATACAGTGTTTGAAAACTCTAATTCATAAATTGGTTGGCTACCACACTAAAGTGGTATCATAGAATGTTAAACAAGGAACATTATTAATTTCTAAATTAATATTCATATCCAACCATCATTACGTTTAAAAGCTGATTTATGACATGGCATGACAACCGTGTGTTTCTACAAACTAAACTACTGGCAGGTGGTGATTCTCTAACAACCCAAGACATTTTATTTCCGAAAACACTGCAACACGATAATCTTTAAAATTTCTTTTTCAAATTTTGGTTTGAAGCATTGAACATCATTTATGTTCACCGTTCCAGAACCTTCCGTTACAGATTTATTTAAAATTTGGTGTAACACATTGGTGTTGTGAGCGGACGAACCCTACCGCCTGTGGGTTAACGCTATTTGCCGAAGACTTTTTTTTCATATTCGATGTGAAGCATTGGGGCCATAAGAGATGAGCCCCGTCTCTTTCAAAAATGTAGGCGTATGTATCATGGCAACCGATTGTTTATGCACACTAAGCCTACTGACAGTAATAATTACTTCGATGGAAACCATTATAAATGTTAATCGTCAATACATTTAGACTTGTATGGTATAAGAATGAAATTATTTCTGTCGATGCATCATTTATTGCATCGTAAAATACCCCATCAATAGTGAGCAAATTAAGAATGGGGAGATAGGACAATTTGTTGTAATTAAAATGCTGTTGTAAATGACATTTTGTTTCCAAATTACCTATACTATGCATTATTTGTAAAAATCAGAACATTTTCGGATGTCGACCATTCATGGGTAATATACGTATTCAACAGTCTGATTAAAAGCTGATATATGACAAGTTATTCTGACTTCCATACACTTCTTACCACTTTAACTTAGTAAAACAGAAGACTATATCAATTGGAATTATGTTTATTATATGTTCGTGATTATTTTAGGCTAATAAATGTAAAAATTGATTACATAACCCAAAACTCATTTGATGCTGTGTGTTGTACATACAATTTCAGGTAATTATTTAAATGTCTGGCATTCGAGTTTTCGACAACATTCCCCTGGCTCAGTAACCAGCTTACAGTTATCAATAGTTGTGAAATCCCACCGTGAACACCTGTAAGAGTAAATATCTGTTTTAATAGCATTTATGCGATGATTAGGCCAACATATGCAATAACTAGACAGATTGTTAATAAGAAATAATATTAACAATCTTATAACATTTTTGTAACAGAACTTATTCGACAAATTGTTGTAATGTACACAATGGTACAATTGGATCTTATAAGATTTGTGCAGACCAAGGAATAATTGTCAGCGATTTTGCATTGTCGGCGAATGATCATTGGTTTGAGGTAATTTGTCTGACAGACAATCTGTTCTGGTTATTAAATATATTTCCAAATATACGTTTTATTATGATTGTTAAGTCTTTGGTGAATATATTGGATTAAAGTTGTGTCTTTTCAAATGAATGGTGATCTATATTGCGTTTGTCTATAGGCAAAATTTATTCTCATGACAACAAATATCATTCAATATATATTAGGTTTATAACAATTCTAATTGGATTTCACCACAACGTTACACTGCTACCTGAATTCACCACAACGTTAAACGGCTTACCTGTCTGTACAGATCATTCTATTTCTGGTGACATCAAAGCATTCACATACATAATCACACTGATCATACCATTTATCATTCAAGTTGTATGTATTACCTTTGTACAAGCATGTGCCTATATAAACACAGTTATGGTCAATTAATTATGCCTTGGAAACCCCTAGCATTGTGAAAGTGTACAGTATCGATTCGTTACGTCAGAGGTTGGCAAGCTTGTGGCCGTAATAGGAATCCAGCCCTCTCTAGATCGGGGCTTTTGTTGCAGTGGGTACTGTACTGCTCCCGCATGCCATCTCCCCAATGGTCGAGATTAGGCCCTACCCTATACTACTTGTACCCAGAAGCAACACATTTGGATGGATTCTATCAATGGCTCCAAAGATCACCACTGGAGTTCAGAAGGCTTGATTGCGCCGTTAATTAAGGAAATGTGAGGCGGTCATTTTCTTATTACGAGTCTCCCACCTAAGCCTGCCTTGATGGCCTTTTCAAGCTAATTTCCTTATCTGTGATATCACCCTAGGTAGCCTGACATCAAATTAAGTCAAGTCCAGTTTATTAACTTTTCGATCAAATTTAATTTTGTAATTTCGAGTAAAGAAAAGTATAACAGAATTAGAATATAGCGTTTAAGACCATATCCAACCAAAAATACTTTCACAATAATATCAGAAAATTTATATCAGTTCTCGAGTTTGTGACTCTAATTTAAGAACTATAAAAATAACCGGCATGGCCCTGTGCAGCTCTTAACAGAATGGTTGATATCAGAGATATTCGTTACACCATATTATGATCTTACCATGTACTCTGGAAGGTGGTCCTTCAACAATAAAGGTGTTCTTTCCACCGATGAAATGTCCAAGAATCAGCGTGGGTCGTGGAGTCGTGTGTTGTACAACAGCCATAGTAGTTTGCTTATCCTGTATCTTGTCTGGAACCCGACCTTAAAAATGCACACAATTCAAGAGTCATGTTATTTCAGATACTACGCTGAAACACATTGTTTGTCATTGGTTCATAGAGGGTATTATTCCAGGCCGCTAATTTGTAAAGCCATGTTTCTGGTAGGTTTATAAAGGGTATCCCTAGGCCATAAGTTGTAAAGTCATAAATGGGCCTAATTTTTAAAGTCATGGTTGTGACCGGTTAATAATGCGTATAATTCCTAGACCATAATTTGTAAAGTCATGTTTGTAATAGGTTCATAAAGGGTATTATTCCTGGACCCTTATTAGAAAAGTCCGGTTATGTTAATATTTATATACTACTTAACATTGTGTTTGTATTATGTTCAATCTTAATGTTTGATTTAATCTGGTTACCCACAATTGCTAGTACAGTTTAGAATGTATATAACCCAGATAGCTGTAGGAGTTTTCAACAGGGAAGAATTCAAACAAATAACAAATGAATACAAAGACGCATTTCTATGGAATACAATTACTGTTCAATATACAGGTTAGTCAAAACGTCGCTCAATAATAAGCAGTACTTGTATTCGATAGAATTGTGACCTGTATACATTCAAGTTCAATTCTTAAATGCCATTGAAACAATTTACTGTTACGGCTACATGCTCATCAAGCCTATGTAAAATCCCCGTTCGACTACTATTAAAATAATTTAACAAATAGATCATACCGTCGGTGTAAGTGCCATTAAAATAGTTAGTCTGGTCTGAAAAATAAAAATGAAATTATTCAAATCATTAGTGTCGGGTGACAATAATTCCACAAATCGATCTCTTATATAATGTACAACAGAGACAGAATCAGGATACCGTGATTGTCTTAGCATGCTTAGATTCATAATGTCCAAACCCAACACGTCCATCTTATGTGCTTGTAAGACGTGTTATAATCCTAAAAAGAGGCCGATAACAAGAAACAATATGGCGGTATAGGAGCGCATGTAGTACAATTCACACATATACTTCATACAAAAGAAACAGACTTAACGTTTTAAAGAGTTTTGGATCGGACTGGTCGAACATTTGGGGGAATGTGCCGTGTCCAAATCTCTGGGTGTGTTGAGACGATTGTTTGGATTTTTCAAACACGTAAAGTGTTTCCTAGTCGTTCGGATTGGACCATGTCCTCCTTTGTATGTCACATGACCACAATAAAATACACCATCTTTTATTCTCTAAAGATGTCTTACGTTGACGAGACGTTCATTTCGTTACATGTGTAAAAGGCCCGGAAAGACGCAGAGTTGTTCATATGATATTTCGCTTCTGGGTACTACTATCAAACGTTGATTTTCCAGGCGTTTATTCACCGGTATGTGCCCAATTATATTGAACTAAAAAAAGCGTTTACTCACTGTAGCAGAGACGACAATACCTTCTACAGTTGATTCTTGCCCACACAAAATACTTAGCATCCGTACAAACTTCACTGGTATACTGTGCACAGAAATCGATTCTATCAAAACATGGTTCGGGTTCAGGACAGTATCCACATCTTAAAGCACAATGTTGACTAGCCCAGGGAGCATAAACACCAACACATGCAGTGTTTAGATAATTATCACAATCATTCTGTGTATTTTTACAATTACCACCCACGGTTGGTGGCTGCATGGTAGTGTGGACTGAAAATATATGGACAGGAAATCTTTAATATAAACCATCCTTATTTTCCAGAAAGGATATATAACCTATTATATTGATTCACACCAATGTATTGGCCGCATTGTGGTTGAATTATTTCGACTGTAACGGTCAATATTAGGTAATCTGGTAAAGATTTATTACCGAAGAAAGGGTGTCCTCCTTGTAGAGTAAACGAAGCCCACAAACCTAACCCTCAGGACGCCGTGTTCTTTGGTAAAAAGTCTTTATATTTTCAACTTCTGCTTGATTCGTAATTTCCAACAATCACCTGCGAGGCTGAAACATGGATATTAGCAACTAACTGAAGGACTGTGGCGAGTCCATGTCATAGCGCTTTGACGAATCAATTCAGTTGTTCTTTCGCGATTTTAATACTGTCATTATTATGTATTGTGCTAACACCATCGTTTAGAGCATAGGGGATGATAGGAGGATTTTGACTGGCATCATCGTCCACGAGTGTCGAACTATTATATGGTAACATATATGTTCTTGCCTTGATATATTGTTTTGGTTAGTTTAACTAGAATGTGTTTCAGGCATGATAGTTAATTTATTCGCAGATAAAAATAAAATATGTGAGATCTATTGGCAATTGAAAGCTGTGATAATCTACCTGTAAATTTAACATGCCTGTATAAAAGGATATTTACCTTGTATTGCTGGCGTGGTATAATTAGCTATAAATAATAAAAGTAATTTAAAACAATTTGCATTTAAAAGAGTATCCGGTCGCGGGAAGATGCAATACATGAACATTTGCCCTGAAAACGATAGGCATTTCTTATTTTGAATTGCAAATGCCAAGGGGCCTTTAACCTGCTGTCAGTGTTCTAAACAGTAGCTAGGAATTTCCACCCACCCAATCGGCGTTTTTGTTTTTGCCAGGTGTCCAGCAACACCGAGAAGGAGGAACACCAGACAAATAAGAAATCAAACTATAAAATCACAAGGAGATTTTTCTGTCACTTGGTCGATGCAGCATACTAGAGTTTCCAGAAAGAGGGGGGTATAAAATACTTAAATTGATATTAATGACGGGGGTGGGGTAGGGCTGCTCCAGACAACTGTTACTACCAACATAGCATTATGCCGATTGATTAAACTTTTAAGTTGTGTGTCAGGTAAAATTAAACAAATCTGACTGTCGATAAAGGAGAGGCGGATCTGGTCCAATGATACCCCCACCCTCTCCCATTTGGTTATTACGCTACTGGTGGGGTAGGGCTGCTCCAGACAACTGTTACTACCAACATAGCATTATGCCGATTGATTAAACTTTTAAGTTGTGTGTCAGGTAAAATTAAACAAATCTGACTGTCGATAAAGGAGAGGCGGATCTGGTCCAATGATACCCCCCACCCTCTCCCATTTGGTTATTACGCTACTGGTGGGGTAGGGCTGCTCCAGACAACTGTTACTACCAACATAGCATTATGCCGATTGATTAAACTTTTAAGTTGTGTGTCAGGTAAAATTAAACAAATCTGACTGTCGATAAAGGAGAGGCGGATCTGGTCCAATGATACCCCCCACCCTCTCCCATTTGGTTATTACGCTACTGGTGACCAACATACAATTTCACAGATAACTGGAAATTCGACGAGATAAGTTGAATGACACTATCTGATAAGTGAGGTATGACCGTAGATTTTAATACCGGTAACTTGAATTGCGATATGAAATCGGTGGTAGCGGGCGTTAAATGTCATACACATTTGCAGTGTTGTATTAGAGTATATCCTCGTGTAAGCCCGCGCGAAGCTCTGGAATACAGATTTATCATTAATATGTGAAATATGAAGACCAGTCATTAATAAGCAACATATATGTCTAAATAAAACGATAACCGAAGAAGTAATAACACATTGTGTCACATATTCAACGTACCTCCACAAAGCCCACAGGATTTTCTGCAATGATCTTCTGTCCATATCCGGTAACCTTTGTTAGTACAGATTTCTTTTGGGTACTGTGCACAATTGGTGATGGTGTCGATACAGGGTATCGGGGTTGCATTTGGATCTATACAATATAAAGCATGAATGAAAGAAATGAGGTTTAATGTCCTACTTTTTTGCACCAAGTGTAAACATAGTTAAGGGACCAGTCAACATTGTTTTGGTTATACTTTCCCATATAAGTGGAAAGGGGCTATTAATTGAATAGCTAGCACGAGGGCCTTTCCGGTCTATTATCATTTGCTTGGCTAAGTATTGTAAAAGATTTGCGTGCGGTCAATATCGTGGAGTTAAACCTCTCGTAAACCACATACTTCGGTCATTACGGTATACATAGACTATATTTTAGTAAACACTGTCGAGGGCCAACAATATATATGATCATTACTTAAATCAATTATATCTAGCTTGAGGGCATAGTCAAAGTCATCTCAACTTGACACATCCTTATTAATATACTTACCATTATTATTATTAAAGAAAAATGTATCAACCTACCCACACAATATCCACAGTATTGGGCACAGTTGGCTTTGGCCCAACCTTCATATATCCCACTGCAGCTTCCTCTTCCATAAGATCGACATGAATCATAACCTTTTGTATTGGTGCACAGGCTTTGAGTACCAGCTGCAAATAAAGATTGATATGGGTGTACAAACAAGTTTAAAATATTTAAAAGCTACGTTTCACTTTGCCCTCCCACTTTCGAATCAATTACTAATACTTGACCACTAAGACTTCTTTTGCTCTAGCAGGATTGGGAAATTCCACGAATTCGGCTTAGCTGCCGGTAATAAAGCTGGCATTACTCCTTCCTAAAATCATCACATTCAACGAGAAAATAAACATAAATAATTGTCGAAAAAACAAGCATTAGCTAATTTTAACCAAATCATTTAAAACGAGCACTCTTTCAACTCTATGAACATATCTAAATGGTTTGCAGGACGCGATGCCATCCTTACAATAGACTACTACTAATAAATAGTAGGCCATTCAAAAAAATATCATAAAATCAGAAATATTTTTCATCGACATTTTTATTGCGCGAGAGTACATATTTAACAGCTTAATTGGTCATTTTCTTTTTAAATTTCAAAATCAAAACTTTCGAAATTTATTCTTGAGGTAGTTGATAAATTGTATGACTGTCGTGCAATAAAAATGATGATTAAAGTTGTTGCTGATTTAATTACATATATTTTTCGATTATCTGTGCTTGTTTAGACACACTTCAAATTACTCTAGCGTATAGGCCTAAACTGCGTCGCTTTATTTCGCTCCAGTAAATCAGGACGAACATTCTTACTTTGAACGAAGCCTTCAAGTTCTAGCACAAAGATGGATTTTTGGCATTGAGCCGTTTTGGCAATTGGCAAATGAATCCATCGAACACAAATGTGCTTACGAAACACTGACTATCATTGAAGTGTCTCTTTAAAATTCGCATTACTCGTGATTTAAGCAGGCTGATGACGTTTTACAGTGCTGAAATTGAACAAAACTGTCTCTAAATCTGCAAAGGGGGTAGGAGTGCTGATGCTGAGAAGTCGATTTCGAATCAATGTACACAGAGGTGCCATATTAGCTTCGAAATGCGAAATGACCTACTTTGTTTCCATTTGACTAGTTGACTTACACCCTCTCCCCCCCCCCCTCTCTCTCTCTCTCTCTCTCTCTCTCTTCGTGAGAGCAGAGCAGGAGGACCCCATAAAACATAACAAACTAATCCAAAAGCTGCAAACATACTAACCAGATTAAACATCCGCATTTCATGCTTTCTGTTAGTTTAGAACTCAGACAAATTAGGACAACAAATATAATTTATTGTATAAATACTTACATATGAAAATCAACACCAGACAAACAGTAAGTCTTTCCATGATGAGCGGTCACAAAGTAAACCGGTAGAATATTCAGTTAACATATTCAGTCAAGGGTTATCACGGGTACAATCATACCCATTCCGTCATAGCTGAGCACTAGTGTTATGCAAGTCGATGAAAAAATATATTACACCAATTTAATAACGATAAATCATTGGGTCGACGATATTTTTTTTTTCCTTTTCGTTTGAATTAAGTTTCGTTAAAGATGCATTTTTTATGTAGGATTTGATAAAGCGCTGACTTTTCTTGCAGTAATTCAAAAATAAATAATTCAAAATTAATGTATTAACAATTACTTCATTCAAATTACTTTATTCTGAGCTGTTTAATACTTTGAAATAGACTGTTCATTACCGTAGCAACGTTACTTGTTAATCCAGTCCCGTCCTCTATATACTTTAAAGATGCGTTATGTAAGAGCCAAATCGGCCTATAGCAGGTCTTTATTTTGACTTCCAATGTTATATGCAGTATTATTTAGACATTTATTTACACGGCAAGCCTAGAACATCGGATGACGCAGATGTAAACGGATTAAAATACGATCGCCTTTTAATGATTTCATTTAAAAATGGCGAATCCAGGTTAAGACTCGAATAACAAATATCTTTGTTACGATAATAAACAATCTATGCCACATCTTGTCAAAACATCAAACAGTGATAAATTCGCTCAGAATAGAGTAAGTTGAATGTTATTTTCAACATATTAATTTGACATATCTATTTTTTTAACTAATATAGCAAGAACGACTAGACATAATACATCTTTAATATTCACGTTTTCTACTGCGTGCTATGTTTGTCATATAATAACTTTTGGGGTTCAATTGAAGCAAACAATTAATACCCCGTCAACCGGTTTAATAAATTTTCACCAATGCGCAGTGAAATCAATAAGAATAGTTAAATCCATGACACGAAGTATTGTTTATGTCTGCTTATGCCCCCGTCAGACACCGTGGCGTTGCTGCGACCGTACAAGGTCGCCGGCAAACGTAAACACAACGCTAGAAAATGACCCAAAAAATTACAAACTTGAAAAAAGTCACGTTCTTATATCTGTTTTAACAAAGATAACATCCAAATTTTTATAATTAGATTAAATAATATTAGATTGATTTTAGTGCTTAGCCAATCAAAAATGAATTATCTACTAAAATATGGTTTTATTTTTAGTTAAGATTTCGAGAAACAGGGTCCTGACCCAATGCTTTCGCAGTGTGCTCTCAACTGTCGCACACTAGTCACAATGGGCGATTTCTGCGGCGCTACGGTCAACTCTTATATCGAATTGCAATTGCCAATGGATATTTTACGTGCACACCTATGTCTATACGGTACCTCGGTTTTTCGTCCCATCCGATCGATTAGACAGATGTTCTTGACAGGCACTACGTCCTGCACCACTGACAATGAACTTTCTTGGCCAACACAGGGATTGACCCCCCAGGCTAGCGAACCAGCGTCTTACCCACTTAGCCACGGTGGCTCCCCGTTTATTTTATGTATGCATATAACATATGTTTCGAACGAGAGGTGATGTGAGTGCGATGTGAAAAACTCCCCGAACATTAAGAGAATGCAGAAAAACTACAGGAAAAATATGAACACACGATACATTTATCTTACCTTATCGAGAATAATATACGAGTACTTCCTCTTCACAAATATTATTCAATTATCAACACAAATATGTTTGATAGTAAAAGAATATTTTTTTTAATATCTCTATGCGCGTATTTGTTAAAATATTTAAAATCAACATTTGCTATCCTACTTAGAGACAAAATCTACTATTATCTTATGGGCAATTTTATACGTCCACATCTTCATGTGGACGTATTGTGTCAATGCCCCTGTCCGTCCGTTCTCATGTTTTATCCAATTTTAGCGAAACTTGAAATATGCGTTTATGTCCCATAAATCTCGGTCCATTTCGTTTTATGGCATGTATCTGACCGTATCTTCATGGATTATACGATCATGATTGTACGAATAATACGCTTATGTCCCATAGGTCTCAGTCCCTTTCGTTTTTGGCATGTATCTGACCGTAATTTCGTGGATTATACAATCATGATTGTACGAATAATCGCGGTTTTAGCTTGCGGACACCCTAGTATAGAAGACCAAGCAGCTCTTTATTCAGTGTTCTTAATTCCTTCGAAGTTGTTATATGAGACTGTAAGAGGATATCTGACGATTCAAAAAAGTAATTGAATGACATTAGATAAGAGAACACGAGAAAAAAAGAAATAGTCCGTACATTTCCTTGTGTTTATTCATTCTATACTTAATAAAACATGGTAATGCATGGACTTGTTCTATTTTTCTTTCATGCTCTCTTATCTAGTGACAGTCAATTCTTTTTATGAATTGTCAGATATCCTAGTAAATCAAAATAATAATCTACATTTACATTTCATCATAGACATGCAACGAAAAACAAATCCTGAACAACAAATTTCTAAATACAAATCTTACAAAACATTTCTCCAAAAACACTTTTCGAAATTCATCAAACCGGGGCATTATGACGACATGAGTGGAAATCAACCTGACAGACAATAAGTTACCATACAATAGTGGGGAATCGAGCAAGCATACATACATGGCCGTGACTTTAGTGCAATCACGTGCGTGTTATGTTTCTATATACATAGTGGATAATTTTATAAAATAAAATAAATTGAAAGTAGTCTATTTTTAGTAATTAGTTAATTTTTTGATAGCGACATATTTCATTGGGCAAACGAAAGAGGACTATATCTCTTGTAAATCATGTAATCATGAATATACCAGTGAAATACACTTTCCGGTAAAGCACTATACAATAACTGGATTTTGACTTTTAAATAACCCCCTGACTAAACAGAGCTCAGATGATCCAAATTATATCTGCTTTAACAAGTTACGTAAATATGAATGTGTCAGAAATCTTTAACAATTTTGAAAATGTATTTTGACGTCTTTAATGGCATGCATCCCAATATCTTGTATTTTATGTTGCACGTATTTTGACGTTAAATAACACCCTATCTCCACTCCTCATTCAATACAGGTTAGTGCCGTTCAAATTTGTTCTTTTTCAAGGTTTGTAAATATAAATGTGCCAGAAAATAATTTAAATTTTGCAGCAAGCAATAAACATAATTTCCAGCAGTATATGAACGGATATCGAGTGTTTCTTATTTAGATCAGTTTTTTTTATTACTTTAAATTCCAGATATCACACAGAATACCGTTTCAGAAATGTAAATTATATTTTGGCAGATTTAAATTTACATTGCTGGAACAGGGTATTACAGTTGGGTGACGCCAAATATTTTGTGTGTGTGTGTGGGGGGGGGGGGAGGGGGGGGGTTATTTAAAACTTAAAATACGGGTTGTCATGTAAGTATTTTTGTATCCCTTCATTACTTATTCCCTGGCACATTCATGATTACAAGATTTAGAAGAGATAAAACACTCTTTCTTTGAGCAAAGAAATATGTCGCTATCAGGAAATAACCTAATTTCTGAAAATAAACTACTTTCAATTTATTTTCTTTATCGAAGACCCGGCCCGATTAGCCTACACACGTGATTTCAAAGAGTCGCGTTCATTGTATATATACCTGCTCGATTCCCCATTTGTCTACGATATCACCTTAGGTGGAAGTGGACGTAAAACTCCTGAAATGAACGAACCCATTACTGTACGGTGACTTATTGTATGCCAGGTTGATTTTCGCTCATATCATAATGTCCTGGTTCGATGAATTTCGAGAAATGTTTTACGAGAAATATTTTGCAAAATTTGTATTTGGAGATTTGTATTTGGAAATTTGTTGTTCGAAATTTGTTTTTCGTTGTATTTCTCTGATGTAATGCAAATATAGGCTAATTTTTTGATTTTCTAAAATAAATTTTATCTTGTTATATGTTAAACAAAAATCCATTTTACAAATGTGATATGACAAATGTCTGACTTGTAAAACAAATATTGATTTTAAAATACAAATGTTAATTTTAGTGTACAAATGTTGAAATGTCTGCTGTCATAATGACTGCTCCCTTTTAAGCAAATAGTGTAATACGAAGGTTACCCCCCCCCCCCTCTTCAGGTCACAATTTTTTCCAATTTAAAACATATGTTTATATCCCAACGAACTCCGTTCCTGTTGATATTGGCAAGTATTGGATTATGGGCCCTGGGTGTACAACAAATCTCGTGTTAGCTTGTATACCCAATAGAGATTTAAATACTGTTCATGCAAATAACCGTTACACCAAATTAGGTGTTTGATTTAAATACTGTTCATGTAAATCTCGTGTTAGCTTGTATACCCAATAGAGATTTAAATACTGTTCATGCAAATAACCGTTACACCAAATTAGGTGTTTGATTTAAATACTGTTCATGTAAATCACAGTTCCACCAAATTAGGTTTGAGTTTAAATTTCATAGAAAATGAACCGTGATTTACAGTCAAAATAGCCACCCACGTTTACGCAAAAAGTTTATAAGCAGGCTGTAACACAGTTGTGGACCCTCCACTTGAAATATCTGTTGAGGATTTTGAATGAGTTCGTTTTTGGTTCGCATCAGACCTGTTCAGATCTATGAATAGAAGTGTCTTAATTAAGACATATGATAGACCCTGATAGTAGTATTGAAAATTATCTGAATGCTTAGTTTCTTAGAATTCACGATTTCCATGGCTGCTATCTTCACTTGGTTCGCTACTTTTGTTGCATTTCAGATTGTCTTTTCTAAATATCTAAAAGTGGAGAATTGGGCACTTCACTGTATGGAATGATAAGCAATAGTAGTAAACTTAAAACCACTGCTAACATCCGATGTTATTATCCACCGTCGACGCAGGCCTAGTGTTCTGCATCTTTAGGAACTACACAATAAGGCTGTAAGGCTCGCCTAGTCCAAAGTTTAACATTCTATGTCTTTAACATTCTGAAAAGTCGAAAGAGTTTCTTAATTATCATTACAATCAAGGATCTTGTTGATGTAATTCGGCCAAATATGTGCTGAACATTCGCTGTCAGAATAGGCCAGGCCAAATGCAGATCGTTCATTCGTTCGTGGGGCTTTACGTCCTCTTCCACCTTGGGTGATATCACAGACAAGCCAACTACAGATTTCGGTTACTAAATATAATGTTGATGTTACCCACAAGGGCACACAACTATGGACCAAGGGAGATAACAACATATTATGCAAAAAAAGGAAATTCAGATTCGAGATAAGCCCCAGAACGGCCGATCAAGATCCTGGATAGGCGTTTATATAATGCTATGATTCACACACAGACTTGTTACACTGTGAGATAGCTAAAAGAGGATCGGGACAATTAATCTGCACAATATATGGCAATTAAATTGAAAAAAAGCATTCCGTGTATGGAATGAGGAAAGGTTCGTACTCCAAAAATCCAAGAATGATAAAATAACGCAAATTTACCGCATCATTTATTAAACATCGTTTTGGACAATCATAGTTGGTATCCAAGTCTGTCAGTTATTTGCAGCGACGTGTATTGTCCATATGGTGTAGCCGAACTTTGACTGGCGAGCGAGAATATTGATCACGGCCTGGAAATGATGGCTTTGGAGCAGGACAATATTCTGAACGTTTTTGATGCTTTGCTATTCTAATAATTATTGTCACCATTGTTCTGTTTGGTTTATGTTATTGATCTCAAGTTACGTCTTTCTTGTTACTGTTTTTTCATTTTTAGTGAAGCCTGTATCATTACAGGTATAAGACTGTACGCAGCGCTGTGGACGCTTACAGCTGGCTCCTGGATCCATTCCCTTGATTTGATATCTGTTGTTTATCTTTTGCAACTTCACTTCAAGGATCAATTGATTCTGGAACACTTTGTTGGTTTAACTAAATGCATGTTTTTTTATATCTTTATAACATTCATAATACAACGGTTATATACAAAATACTACACACACAAGATATTAATATAAGCTAAATATAAGTTCTCTGTCCCCTATAAGCTTGGGTTTTGCGGCGTTACGCTCTTCTTTCTAAGTCTACATGATGATCTCCCTCTCTTAAAATCTCTCTGATTTCTACGAACTACAAATGATGTCTTCACCCTAGCCTCTAAGCCGATGAGGCTGTGGGTATGATGTTAAAAACACTTAATGACTATTGTAACTGGTAATATTCAAACACATTTTGTTGCGTCAGTACGACATATTGGAGGAATCTATGAAAGTGAAATACAGACGAGAGAATATTTCAGTCAAATGTATGTAAACTTTGTTATTTTTATAAGACGAATTATTGGTAAAATCAGTAACTATTATTCCTTGGGTAATACAACAGCACGTTTAATTCTATGATTCTTTTTTTAAATGGTGAAGGCAAACTAGAAAATGCGATCGTATTACAAATTATATCCTGTTTGTTTTATGTAAAATTGATTTTAGCTCTTCGTTTGATGGCTAAAATGTATTAATAATCTTGTTCATGCATAATTACCTTTAAGAATTCCACGCGTAAAACCCAAAACAACAAACGTATAACACACGACCATTGATCCACATGGAATATAATACCGTTTAATATAAAGACCTGCACTTCTGTTAAACATTCATAAAATGTACCAGATTTTGGTGATTTGTCATTTATTATTTATGATTCGTGGTTTATTGGTAATTCAGTCAAGTGCCTCTGAAGGCTTAAAACCCATCACAGTGATATATAATTATGTATAGCCCCCTGTATACGAAACCCTACGAGATTACACAGGCGACTCTACTCCTTGTCACGTCGACCGGGGAATCGAAACCACGCCAGTTGACACAACGACAGACCGTATGATACAGCGCGTACGTGCTAACCATTTGGCCATCCAGCCCCTTCTTTGTGTGTAGACGTGATGCAATGTTGCGGGAACTGTCCGTTTCGTGGTTTTGTTACCTCAGCCGGAGTTTCGTAAAATACTGTAACGAATAAGGTAACGTTACAATAAGTTCTATAGACTTACCACGAGGATTCAAGACCACATTTGGGTTTAAACAAAAAAGATCATTGACATATGACCATACGTTCGAGTTGGCTATACTATATGAAAGCACTACACCCACAGCTACATCCAAAACTCTTCATGTACAATGATTCAGTGAAAATTACTAGAATAATTAATATCAACATGATCCTTTTTTAGGACCGCGTCAATTTCTTGTTGGTTTCTGAGACCTACGAACTGCTGCACATATGGCTTGTTTAAATTATATGGATCAAGACTTATAATTACATGTATTAACTATTTTTCTTAAGCTTTGTGTGGTTATAAAGATTAAGATCATGGGAATGTTCAAATAATTATTCTATGCCACGACATACCATAAATATTACATTTCAGTCAATCGGAAGAGAATGACTACTGGGGTTGCTTCCCTTGTTTTGTAAACGCTTGTTAAACGAAGCTATCGTCTCATCAATCCAACGTATTAATGGGTGGGTTAACAAAAAACCCTATTAGCTTAGTCCCTATTAGCAGGTTGCTGTGTGATCAGGCGTGGGCCTGAAACAATATGATAAACGTATTTGAAAATATCAAGTTTATTCACTCGCGACGATTAGAGGGAGGATCTAACTCTCAGACTGTTCAGTTATCCCAAATAGCAACACGTACGTTTATATTCTTGTATAATTTAGGCTATTAAGTGTGGTATGTATTGCATGAACTAAGATTCATTTGATCTGTACATTTTGACAACTATTTTATTTTATAAATTAAGACAGCTATGTTCTGCATTCAAGTTTTTGGCAACATTCTCCTGGTACGGTAACCAACTCACAACCATCTATATGTTCAACCGTCCATCGTGAACACCTGTAAGAAATGAGAAAGATCAAGGTTGGCAGTTTTTATGTCGTCAAGATACGGTTAATGTCAACGGGGTGTTCGGGTCCATAAATAGGCAGGCATCCGTGCACACATATTTGTGCTACATCTAATTATTAAATAGAAGTCAAGCTTAACATTATTATGAACAAGAAATCAGAATAAGTGTAACTGTTTGAATATCCGTAAATTATTGAAAGTAGAGTTGAATTTTTCCAAATTCTTATTGATTTAATTTGCGTTTTATTTTGAATGTGTGGGTATATACAGGTTGTACTCTCACACTCTTAACATAATCATGTTTCTAATTGCACTTTTACCTGGGTGTCTATATACAGGTTGTATTCTAACACTCTAAACATAATCATGTTTCTAATTGCACTTCATAAAAACTGCTTACCTGTCAGCACAGATCATTCTATTTCTGTTGACATCAAAACATTCACATACATAATCACACTGATCATACCATTTATCATTCAAGTTGTATGTATTACCTTTATACAAGCATGTGCCTATATAAACACAGTTATGGTCAATTAAAGTTATAGCTTAATAATAATAATATATGAATCAAAGTCCCACATTTTAGATTTGCAATGTCTGGTATTTTTTGTTATTCACAAAAAGTAAAATTGGAAGTTTAAGACCATAACCAATCGAGAATACTTTTACATGTACCACAATATCAGAACATCTCTTAAATCTTCTCGGTTGTTATGATCAAATGTTGGAGATCAAAGATAGTCAATACACCAAATGAGCTTACCATTTATTGCAGATGGTGGTCCTTCAACAATAAAGGTATTCTGTCCACCTATAAGATGTCCATTTGTAGGCACGGGTCGGGGAGTAGCTGTTGTAGATGGTAGCTGGGTAGTTGCTGTTTCCAGACCTGTTGGTATCTTTCCTGGAATCTGACCTTAAAAAAATCAACATGCATGTAACCAGGAAAGCAGCGTTACTGTCAATACTGCTGCTAAAATTGTTTGTTATCTTCTCTTAAATAAGTTTACTGTTTTTGATTTCACAGTTAATTTGAGTTAACAAAAGACACAATCAGCGACGTTTCGACTATATAGGGGTCTACTGTCTTTATCAAGCAAAGAATAACAACATAGTTCAATGAAGATATATACCCTTAAAAAGAAGAAACGCACAGTCCATTTTTCACCATGTTTTTATTTGAACGGGATCGTTGTTTCCATAAATCTTACTTGTTTTTAATATCATTATGTAAGGATAAAGAAATTCATTATTGGTTTTAAATGTAGGGTCACTAATTGTAACTGGTCACACTTTCTGCCGAAATTTGTTTTCGCTTGATGCACCAAGACACATGAGTTTAACAACTTCACAAGCTTTTCGCCTGAAACCCAAATCTAAAGCCTTTAAAACCCCGGGATTCTCGGTTTCAAAATCAGTTGCACACTCAACGAGCCAAGTGATTCCACATCTGAATGAAGATCAACGCAACAACGCCATCGGTTAGATACAAGCAGGTAAATACCAGACAGCTGGGATAGGTACCGACAGCGAAGATCAACACGAGTCCGCCCGAGCTCAGGCCAAACAAGAGTGACCCCACTTTACGTGGATCGTCACATCCGCTTACGTTATTTGCGGAAACGATTCATAATAGCGACATCTACTGCAGCAGCAATTCCTGGACGGCGTAGGATCTCAGACCAGACAGTCCATAGACGCCTTCGTGAAACCGTATTACGAGCTGTTGTTTTGAAATAGGCCGACACCGTCAAATCCGACTTCAATGGGGTCGGACACACAGGGTATGGCCACAGCAACGCTGGAGAACAGTTTGGTTTAGCAACGAGTCGCGGTTCCTGTTGCAACGAGACGGTTGTAAAGCGAGGGTATACCGACGACGAAATGTCACTATGAGTTTCTTTTTTTTCGAAGAGTATATAACACAAATATTTATATACAATCAGAGATAATCCTTTAGAAACCATCAAACGGACTGGACGCCATAAGAGTTGGGTAGTAATGAACTATGTACAAAGAATCATAAAGACAGCTAGATTGGGCGGTGAATATGCTTACACAGGAGCAATCCACTAAGAGAAGCCATATTTGTGAACATAACATAAGATTATCCGGTATTTAATCAATGAAACATTTAAAAGATAATAATAATTGTACACCTTTCCTAAAAATTCCAGATTTATCAACATATTTAAGAATTTGTAAACATATTGTGAAATAGTAGAAAATGAAAAACATGTGAGAGAGAGCGAGAGATTAACGTCCACTCGACAAAAACTAGGTCATTTCGGGACTAAAATATGGTTCAATTTTATTTCAATAATTCGCTTGTGCGTGGGGGTCGTTAGCAGTGGGAGGAAACCGGAGGACCCCCAGAAAACCCAGGAGTTTGGACAGGCACCCTACTCCTTGTCACGTACAACCGGGGAATCGAAACCAAGCCAGTTGACTCAATGACAGACCTTATTATACAACCCGCACACGCTAACCAATCGGCCACCAACCACCCCATTTAAGATATACAAAAATATTTATTGACTATGGTTATAAACTATATCTAATGTGACAGACCGGTTATGTGCAGGACATAATCCTTCACGAGTAAATAAATACATCTTACCGCCTGTGTAAGTTCCATTCCAGTTATTAGTCTGGTCTGAAATTATACAATGATTAACAATATATATGTCCAATACGCTTCATATAGTATTGAGTGTTGTTGTTAACGCACAGATCCCAACGTTTGTCATGTCCATTCCGCGAGAAGAAATTACCCATGTCCTTCCCTTTCTTGCATGAAAGTACTTATTCCCAATGTCAGATGATAATAATTGCCCGAAAGCTTTTGGATCAACTTGTGTAGAAACGTACAACAGACTCAAAATCACGATGTCATGCCAGTGAACTGATGATACAAAGAACCAGCGGTGGTTGAGTATCTTGCGAACTTGTCTTAATTTCCCTCACATTGGAATTACTAGTAATTGTGCTGATCGTACGAGACCGACAAACATGTTAGTGCACGTGTTGGTGACACCCGTATAATCGAAGCACGCGTACGTGCAGCCATTTAAAACCCACCGACTGTTGTTTCGTATTGTTCAGGGGCCTGTTTCACAAACTTGTAACTAAGATAAAATCCAAATTTTAGTAATTTGATTGGATAATATTAGATTGATTTTAGTGCTTAGCCAATCAAAACTGGAGTATCTACTAAAATTTGGATTGTATCTTTAGTTAAGATTTCGAGAAACAGGGTCCAGATTTTTATCTGAATGGGTATTAGGGAACATGCATCGCTTATCTTAAATATTTCTCACTAATGTCGACTGTTGATATGGAAAATAAACGCTGAAGAATCCCAAATCACAATCTCGGCTAACACCGTATAAATATTAGAGATAGAGGGAGACGCAATTGTCCTATCTCGTGTAGCATTTATGAACACAGAAGAAACAACTCTCTAACGATATATTCTGTTGACGAGTTATTCTTTTTCTTTCCTTTACAAAGCTTTATACACAATAATATTAAGGGTACTGCTATCGAGTTTTTTTCAGCAAGTTCTTTATTTAATAATTTACACTGTTGTGTGCTTAATTTAATTAATTATGTATGTATACTTACTGTAACAGAGACGACAATGCCTTCTACAGTTGATTCTTGCCCACACAAAATACTTAGCATCCGTACAAACTTCACTAGTATACTGTGCACAGAAGTCGACTCTATCGAAACATGGTTCGGCTTCAGGGCAGTATCCGCATCTTAAAGCACAGTGTTGACTAGCCCAGGGAGCATAGGCACCAACACATGCTGAATCTAGATAATTATCACAATCGTCCTGTGTATTTGTACAATTACCACTCACAGTTGGTGGCTGCATGGTAGTGTGGACTGGAAATAGATAGACAGAAAATGTATATAACATAAAAATTATCTCAAATCCTTGATTATGTTCTAGAAGATAAGTATTTATTTAACCCGTTCGCTTCATTGTCCCGTTTACTCATTTCTAAATGATATTTGTTTGAATTACGTCGCGAAAATGAGTTCAGATATTTAATTTGAGCTTCCTCAGAGATATGCATATGAGGATACTCGATTGGTCGTTCAGGAAATCAATTCTCTTAATCCCATAAGGCACCAATCAGGTAATCATAAGATCTGATTAATATATAAGGCATGGGTCAAATGAATATGATAAAGTTGCAACCAATCTTTATGGGTGTACTCGATTGAAAGTATCGGAATTACTTGATCTCAACCCCTCCTAAGAGGTCAATCGGACTCGCACTATATCTGTTTTTAGAACTGTTTGAGACTCAATTTATTGTCACTCGAATGCAATGCCGTCAATTCGGAGATTTCGGACTAACAAAGGAGTACTGAATTAAAATATAAAGCCTTTATTTGTTTTGGATGTAAGAGGCTGACAATGAAAGTGTGACTAGTAGCTCGAATTGTACCAAAAACCGAGATTCACCCGTTAACAGTTGGAACTCAAAGAATTTCTAGCGGTAACGCCGATACCCGAGTAAACTTCACACACATCTATGGAAATATAAAATACCATAATATGTCTGTCTCAATTTAAAGTGTTCACATAACTAAAAAAATAAGCACTTTATCATTTAAGCTATTGCTGTGTCAACAAAAAATGTTGGTTAACGCAGTACATGAAGGTGAAAGTAAAAAATGTGTACCCTACCAAATACAGTTAAATATAAATTTATAACATGATATTTACCCTCTATTGCTGGGGTGGTAACGTTAGCTATAAATTGAAAAAAAAGGAATTACAAATAATTGTCAACACAAATAATTGTCAACCGTGACCAAATGCAACTAAAGTGATGTTATTACTATTTATGATAGATATTAAGTGTTGCGGGAAAACTTCATGCACCAATTAACGATGATTGGCGTGTGTAGCATTTCAGACCATAGCACCAGGAAAACGGTTTGGATGGAGTTAAAAACACCAAAAAGAACATTGTTTAGATTAATGCATTTTTGGGTGTGCCCAGTAAAATAGTTGGTTTTTAGACTACCGGGCCGAGGGCATAGCCCAGTGGCCTAAATCTAGATTTGGCATTAAGACATCAAGGGCACCAACTTCAATAAAAGTTTTTAACCATGAAAGGAATGGGCACAAAAAGGGTAAGACATTTACAATATGAACCCTAAATATGTAAATTAATTTCTAGACTTTCGATTGTGGCATGATACTGAACTTTAATACACAACCGTTAGCTTGCTTGGTTGACTACAATTCATAGTGGTGTATTTAGAGACACGAAGTTCTATACAACCCGATCCCAGTAAAGTATTTATTATAATTAAACATAGCTTCAACATACCACCACAAAAACCACAGAATTTGTTGCAATGATCTTCTGCCCATATACGGTAACCTTTATTGGTACATATGTCTGACGAGTACCCTTCACAATTGCTGATTGTATCTATACAAGGAGGCTGGGTTGCATAGGGATCTGTACGATATAAAACAATAGATTAGGAGCCACAACGGTGTTTTGTTCAACACTAAATAGAACTAGATCTGCCAGTCAGGTATGAAAGCTATCATATTATTCACGGTCACTTCCTGTCACGGATTTATAAAGAATCTCATAAAGAATTATTAAATTCGGTCAATAACTTGCTATGTTATACGCTAAGTTATAACGAGAAACATTTCACCCGGGCGAATACTAATCTGAAATAAGGTGATAACTGAGGCTTATATTACTGGAATCGGATTAACCTTAGCTGGCCGAATGTAGGTCACATTTGATAATTTTCAAAGGTACGAAAAGTGTCCCATAAACAACAATTTCGGCACGAAACTCATAAAAGGGGAACATTTTCAAATGCTATATATTAGACCATAGACCAAGTTATCTAAACATGTACTTATTTTTAAAATAGACGACAAATTGGCGGAAATACGGGATACTTCGGATATTCTGAATATCGTCGGAATACTTTTGTTGCGGCCTGGGCATCTGAGTTCCCTTTCCAGAAGTTTCAGAAAAATCGATCAAGTCGTTTAAAAACGGGAAGTATACGACAATGAGCTAACAATGGCGGGAAAATATCGAAAAATAAAGTGAAATAATTTGAATGAAACTTATATGTCTAGAATCGTATTGACCAAATTTATAAATTTATAAAATTAAAGAAAAAAAATCTGTAAACAGCTTTGACGGGACGAAATTCAAAATTTTGAAATTTTCCAAATTTCCAAATTTGAGCCAGGCTATCGGGAAATATATTAATTTCGGAAATAAGAGACGAATTATTTTAAAGCCCGTTAACATAGATCTTTCATTATTTTTTTATATTGGATTCAAAATGGTTACGATCATTTGACTGAAATCAACATTGTGCCCCGATAGATTTTTAGGCATTTCTTTAAGAATTCTGACAATGTAACTCCTAACGTACACTCATATAGGATTTTTCAAGTTTTCAGATTGTAGCACTTCCGGTTTGATCTACGCGCTTTATTTATTCTGTACATATTTGTAGTTTCTTTGCTAGTACAGAAAAACAACCAAGGCAGCCTGATCTCATTTTGTTTCGTTTTTTTTTTCATAAAACATTGATCATTAATTTCTCAAAGGGGAGATAAGTTAAAAAATTCCTAATGACATTGGTAAATTTCATGAAAAACGCGATTATATTAAAGAAGTTTTCAAGTTGGTTTTTACTCCCGGGATGAGATGTCAATGACGTAATTTTCGAAAATGGGAAATAGCAGATTTAAAGTAAATGTTTCGAGGTACTCAAAGAAATAAGAATAGGTCAGAAAGTCACCAAGTCATAGCTATGTGAGTCAATGTTTTCCTCAGTAAAATTCGGTGATCTCGGATTCTTAAAACGTTTCGAAAATAGTTTTAATGTACAGAGATATAAGATTTGCAGAAAAACACAAACACAAAAAAAGAATATTAATCTTAACACAAACAATAAGCTTTCATATGAAATATAAAAGCTTAGTAAAATAGATAGTTTGTAAAGAAAGGGAATATTTTAATATGAGAATACCGAATAAAGTTTTAATCCCACCTACCTACACAATATCCACAGAACTGGGCACAGTTTTCTCTTGCCCAGTTTTCATATATCCCACCACAACTTCCTTTACCATAACCCCGACAACCATCATATCCTTTTTTATTCGTGCAACTGTTTTGAGTAACGTCTATAGATATACAAATATACATAACATTTACATCGAATTCATAAGTAAAATACAACCACATTTTCCGATGTTATAATATCAGAGTTTCAACGCCTAACCTCGTAAGACAGGTTATTGTGAACAATACAAGGGGTACTGAAACCTTTTCTTTCATTGTAATGGCCTAAAGGGGTTTAACTAGCGAACTAATAACGGTAGCTTAACGTATGTGTTTGATTCCTTCGTCAACGTAATGATAGATCTGTTTCTATGGACGTAGGCTAATTATATAAGAAATATATAAGAAGTGGAGCATGTCATCTTTCGTCGCAGATGGAATATGCATAATGCTTGGCAGTATTCATCTCTATTCCAGATTATATTAGCCAGGACATAATACTCACTTTGATCCGTTTGGTTGTTATTAACTGTTTGGTTGTTATGGACTGTTTGGTTGTTATGAGCTGTTGTGTTGCTATGAGCTGTTTGGTTGTGATTGGTTGTTTTGTTTGAATGGTTTGTTTGAGATGGCGGCGTTGTTTGCACTATCTGGTGTGGTCTCGTTGTTAGTCTTGTGGTTGGTCTTCGTTTTGTTGTAATTTTAAACCAAACCGATGTGCTGGGTGTTAACAGACATACAACTGGGAAAGAACATTGCATTATATAGAGCATGTTACAAACACACCTCGTATGCTTTCCTCGGTAAAATACACTTGTTTCTATATTGACATGATTGAAAAAATATGTTTGACGAATGAGCGATAGATAGAAATGTCATTTAGCATCCACCCAGCACAAATTACATCATTTCAGGACTAACATATAGTTGTCTTTTTTCAATAATGGCGTGTGCCCCGTGGGAGGAAACCAGATGCTCCAAAGAAAACCCAGGTTAGACAGACCACCCTACGCCTTGCCAAGCGCAAACTTGGGATCGACATCACCTCACTTGACCCAGTGACATACATAATGTTTAAAGTACACATGGAACTATGTTCATGGGATCTTGGATGACGGCCCGATCTTAAGAGAGAGAGAGAGCGAGAGAGAGAGAGAGCGAGAGAGAGGGAGAAAATGGGGTTTAACGTCCACTCGACACAAACTAGGTCATTTCGGGACTAACATATGGTTTAATTTTTATTTCAATAATTCGCTTGCGCGTTGGGGGTCTTTAGCAGTGGGAGGAAACCGGAGGAACCGGAGAAAACCCACGAGGTTGGACAGGCGACCCTACTTCTTGTCACATACAACGGGGGATTCGAATCCACGCCAGTTGACTCAATGACAGGCTTTATGATACAGCGCGCACGTGCCAACCATTCGGCCATCCAACTCCCCCACCCCCACTCCTGATTTTAAGAGCATAAATTCGCATATTTCATCATTAATATGTGTACGGACCGACCAATCTGCTTATTTTCCTTTAAAACGGCACCTTTATCAATTTTTAAAATAATAATTATTTGTGCAGTTTCTGTGCGGCTTACATTGATGAATTCTTAAAAGGTGCCGTTCTAATTTAAAGGTTTCAATTTCATGTTCCATGTTTCTAAATAAAATTATGAAAATTTTCGTGACAGCTTACATTAACGAATTCAGACAGCACATTCTCTGAAAAATTTGAAATTATAGTCGTAATAATAAGATGTCAATTCCATGCTTTATTTTAATTTCTCAAAAGATCTGTCAACGGTAATCCCTCATAGAAAACGTAACGGGGCTTATGGAGACCGATATATTATGCTATGCAGTGTGCGATTAAATGGATTTTCACATTAAAATGGCACTACGTCCTACTCTTATTTCGAATTCGATGTTCATAGGTGCTTTTACGTGTATACACGGGACATGGATTTTTCTTCCATCCGAATTTTTATACGCAATTCCATCCCAGAACCCCCGTCCTGCATAACTACGCCACAGTGGTCCCCACACAAAAAAGTTATCTTTGATATAATCATGAACCATAAATATAAAAAGCAGGCAGATTTTTTTAGCTAAGATGTTGAACTATAAATAAATAAAAAATATACTTACATATAGAGAGCACTAATAGAAGACTAGTTATTTTTTCCATGATGATATGTCAGAGTCCACAGGTAGACTATTGAACTTACATATCAAGTCAAGTGTTATAAGGGGGTAGAGTCCTAGACATTCCGCTACAGCTAAACACCTGTGCTATGTACACCAGATAAAAAATGTCGTATCAATATAATCATGGCATAGGTATCAGTTGACCATCGTATTTTTCTTGAATAAACTTTATTCATATTCACGTCATCATCTTCGCCATATTCGTATTCTCAAAAACGCTATATCTATGGCGGCAAAATTTCTTTTCAGTTTTAATATAACCTCATCTCTAATTTGTTTCTTTTGGTGACATGCGTGTAAAATCATGATCATTTTCCAATTTAAATAGACCCTAATCTCTAATTTTATGCTTAAAAAATACTTTTGTTGACGTGCGTGCAAAATTGTGATATCTTTCCAATTCTAATTGTTCATCGGAATTTTCCGACGTGGTTCCTCCTTGTCAGAGGTGAAGGACGGAGGGCCTGACAATGACAACTGTCTAGTCGTTTGGATGGGACGAAAACCCGCGGTCCCTTGTATATATTGGCGTGCACGTAAAAGATCCCCTGACCGTTAGAATTCGATATAAGAGTAGTTCATAGTGCCACTGCCCGTACAAAATTTACCCATGACACACTGTATGGCGTATGCCCGTCTTCTTTAGCCCAGTCGGGACAGAAAAGTAGGAAGTTAAACCCCATTTAATTTCCAAATGTAATGAACATAATCTCTAATTTAAAGCTGTATTACTAGTTCATGGGTTTAGATTTTTCTGTTCCTTTATCTTTTTTATATCATATTTATGGGCGTTCAAAATCATGCTCTAGCAGTTGGGCGAGTTTAATTTTCCAAATATTAATTATCATGTTATTATGCATTATAATAACCCAGTTTATAATAGCATCTCTAATGGGCACATCGAAACTTTTTACGTGCAGGCTGGGATATCCAAATTTCAAATGCCTCGTTAATTTTTCGTGAAGAATCTGGTCTTGATCACCTAAATTCAGGAAAGCAGGAAAGTCAAATATAGTTCAGAAGTGTTATTTAATGTTTTTTCGTGTCATACGCTACAACGGGTAGAGATAGATATATACTTTATTTGAAATAGATATTTACTTTTTTGGTCACTATGAGCTCATAGTTACAAAATAGAAAAAATTATAACCCAACAGCTTACTTTTTTTGTACACAGGGAAATCTCAAAGTAAATCTTTTTAAAATTGCTATGTTCATTATTTTATGTACAGCTTTATTCAAACGGTTGGGGTTTTAGAGGATGGTAGTACTGGTATCTTGTTTGGCATTGGTGTTGGTATGTGGATGTCTGGCGTGGTTGTTTCAACTAAAGAAAAAAGAGAACTATTCAGAAATGCAGGTTTCCAGGGGCAACGAATACGCTCATCGACGGCAAACGACCACTCCCTCTGTGAAGGGTGTGGTACCCATCAGTACAATTGATACATACAAGAGCGAAATTTCTTGCAACCAGATTAATCGGTGGAGTGACTTTAAAATAATCGAAAAAACATTCAAACTAATTAGTGGACTCATTCAAATATATACAACCTTAAATTTTAAATATACCTTCCTACGTGCAACCTATGTGATTTGGTGATATATTTAGACTAGACTATTTATGAAAAGTTTGTCTCAAATGCATCTCACTGTTCTCACAGCTGCTCAGCTAACCATTCGACCGACACATACTGAGCAGACAGCTTCCCAGTTTGTGATAGTATCATAAATATCCCTACATTTTTACATGGTTGTTTGACAGGGAATCCATTATTTCCCTGGTAAGATTGGGTGTTCCGCCTTATCCATAAAAAAAATTCCATAATTTAATTGAACATGGTATGTAATGGTATGACATCAAACATGCGCTGTGATGTTCGTGTTTCCAGTGATGCGTCTCTATGTATATGCCCACTGTAACCCATACTTATTTTGCATATACACACTGAAAGTGTACAAACCTGTTTTACATATACACACTGGAATATAAACCTGTTTTGCATATACATACTGTAATATGTACCTGTTTTGCATATCCATACTGTGCACTGTTTTACATATCCGTACTGTGCACTGTTTTATATAAATACACTGTAATATACAAACCTGTTTATATATACACACTGTAATACTAACCTGTTTTACATATACCACATGTTTTCCTGCAGTTTTCATCAATCCATGATCTATATAAAACATCTATACATACAGCGGGTTCATACTGCTTACAGTTAGATATTTTATCATGGCAAGCAGACACCTGGGTAGTACGACCATCTAAAACATGAAACATGGATGTTAAATGACCTAATAGTTGAAGCGTTGTATTATAAAAATATCTATATTCTACTTGATATTATTATATATCTTTCACACTCCCCACTTTTTCGATAATACTATACATTTATTGATAATTCCTCATTCGATTTGTTATATGCAGAGTCATCGTCAACCATGACATAGTTGTCTGTCAAACCGGTTAACTACAATTAGCCTCTAACCAAGTTTCATATTTAAAATATAAAAGCGTATGTCTATTTTGACTTGCTCGCTGTGGTATTACTTCTGAATTAAATGTTAATTAATGATTTTTAAGATGGATTTTAAGCCTTGAAAAATTAGATATCGAACAAGGGGATCAGCGACTTTAATTGAAATACTATTTACACCCCTGCTAGGTTCAATGCATAATTATTATAAATTAACTCTACCTGTACACAAGCCACAAAATTTGCGACAGTTTCGTTGAACCCAGTGTGAATTATCGTCACTACACGCACTTTGGGTATAGTATACGCACTGCTCTGCATCAAAACATTCTATAAAAATACATAATTCCCGTATCAAAACAATCTATAATAACACATAATACCAGTATCAAAACAATCTATAATGACACATAATACCAGTATCAAAACAATCTAAAATAACACATGATACCAATATCAAATAATCTACATATAATAACACATAATAATCAGTATCAAAATAATCTACATATAATAACACATACCCGTATCAAAATAATTTACTTATAATAACACATAATAATCAGTATCAAAATAATCTACATATAATAACACATATCCGTATCAAAATAATCTACTTATAATAACACATCATATCAGTATATCCAGATAATCTCCCATAACAGTGAAAGACAGTTATAATGAACGTATTGCCAAGCATCAAAATGCATCTATTCTGGTCACACAGATTCATTTAGGGAAAGGCGGGTCAAAAACGAAGCAGAATCAAAGATTGTTGTGCTTTAAAAGTTATAATAGGTTTACTTACCTAACGGTGGCACAGGTGTTGTTAAAGCATCAAGTTGTTGAAGAACATCAGCTGAAACGAGATTAAATGTTGAATTAACAATTTATCAGGAATAGAGAAATTTGTAATAGCTATCGAAGATCGAGTTTTAGTTTTGAGATTTCAGAGCTTACTGCTTTTCTCTCCAAAGATGTTTTGTTTCTGCATGTATTGGAGCAGTTATCCTTTAATAATTACATTTTCACATCGCCAGATATATATAGTTAAAATATGGACCGCACGTTCATGGCTTCATAGTTTTCATTTTAAATGCTGGACGTTTTATAGAACTGCCTAGTAAGGTACTCTCGCACAATTGGTATCTTACCTATTTAGATATATTTATAATCGATTTGTAAAGATGTTTTGTTTCTGCATGTATTGGAGCAGTTATCCTTTAATAATTACATTTTCACATCGCCAGATATATATAGTTAAAATATGGACCGCACGTTCATGGCTTCATAGTTTTCATTTTAAATGCTGGACGTCTTATAGAACTGCCTAGTAAGGTACTCTCGCACAATTGGTATCTTACCTATTTAGATATATTTATAATCGATTTGTAAAATATCAGTTTTACCATTGGTACCCGTTTTTAGTCATTCTAAAAAATTAATATAGTCGTAGAGAGTGGTATATATATATATATATATATATATATATATAGGGCAGGATACTTACTCTAACCAGCTATTTAACCCTATTTTGCCATGTAGCTACTTCCATAATAATACATTTTATATTTTCAATGAATGTAAAAGCGGACATTATAAATGTTCAAAAATATATTTATCGTTAATTTACGTGGTAGATTTAGACATGTACTATCCCCCATATTCATTATTTTGTAAATTGTATTCATCATAATTGTGTTATGGAAAAGTACCATCAGTCAGAAAAGACAATTTAATTCAGAATTCATAAATAAAAAAAGCCAGATGAAATACACAAAGATGGATGGTACCTTTTGATTGAGGTTTAATATCAATTTAATGTGACATGAATTAAATTAATGAATATTTATTATTAAATTTATGATTTAAGTTAGACAGTCTGTACACTAGCTGTATCTTATATAATAATAGTACTTAGCTATTAAACTCGTATTACATTATGCATTAGTTAATATGATAGATGTGTATAAAAAATGTCTCTCGAGGATGATGTCAGTCCAACCATTTGGTCAAAATGTATTAAAGCAAATTATGTTTTCACTACCAAAGTTATATATGTTTATAAATTGCACAGTATTATTAACATTGTAAAGAGGGCGTAGCTTACTATAACCGCGATAAGGTATAATCAATTTATTTTTGATATGCATACCTGTTGACTGTTTTTTTTGTACTTTTAAGTTGTTAAAACAACTCCACCCACCTTTCAGTAACGTGAAGGTATATTATCACGCATGATCGAGCGGTAGGCGGTCACATTCGTCACAGATGCAATAACCTGCATTCTACAATAACAGAACATTTGTGATATTTCCTGCCCGTTTTCCACTGATATGGGATGTCAGCATCTGGGCTGGTAAGGACCGTAAAATCCAAAATGTCCTATTAATATGTAGAAGGTGTAGGGCTAACTGATAATAGTTCCCTAAGAGTGTTGGTTTTCGTAGGCATTGAAGATCATAGCTGGTTGTTTTCGTTTTTTGTATTTTATCATACATATTTTAAAAAATAAGCTTAACTTAGGCCACTCCGATTAGTTCTTCGACGTCTTGATAAATAGATAGCCACGTAATATGGAAGAGGTTTTGCATATTATTTCAAATGTTAAAATTATGGAACAAAAGCTTTTGAACAGCACAACCAAGTCCTTTGAAGAAGTCTTTTTTTCGAGAAAAAAGAAGGGAATTTTTACAGGTGTGGAAAAAACATGAATTTAACATTCAACCGAGGAAAGAACTGTCGCTCGATTTTAAAGTTGTGAAAACTGACATCTGATTTCCCCCCTATAGTCACCGGTCATATCACAGTTCATTAAAGAATTTGAATGTTTAACTTACGTGGACAGAATCTACAAAATCTTCTACATTTGTCTCTCGCCCAGTACATAAATTGTGGATCATTACAAACTGTTTTAGAGTAAGTGTCACAATTAGTTGCTTTATCAACACACTGGGGTGGTGTGATAGGGGGTCCTAAAAGCAAGGAAAACAGTATATACGCCATTTCCACGAAACTTCTCTTTGATGATAGCTTTTCTTATGCCAGTGTTAAAGTAATATCTTTGTAAACAATGTTATTATTATCCAGTGTTTGTAGCGATATATTTGTAAAAAAAATAATTATTATCCAGTGTTTGTTAAAGTACTAATATATGGAAATCCGAATTGCTATCTTTAGGTAGTGACATAATTACATAATGTAACAACCTGGTGACCAATTCGATATAACAATACTTATCGGACAAATGGGGAGGATGGCAGAGAGAGAGAGAGAGAGAGAGAGAGAGAGAGATGGGGTTTAACGTTCGCTCGACACAAACTAGGTCATTTCGGGACTAACATATGGTTCAATTTTATTTCAATAATTCGCTTGCGCGTAGGGGTCTTTAGCAGTGGGAGGAAACCGGAGGACCCGGAGAAAACCCACTAAGCTGGACAGGCGTTCCTACTCCTTGTCACGTACAACCGGGGATTCGAAACCACGCCAGTTGACTCAATGACAGGCCTTATGATACAACACGAACGTGCTAACCATTCGGCCATCCAACCCCCCGGGAAGATGGCAATATACGACCACATTAAAAGGTGGGCATATACAAATTAATCTAAAACGAAGGTTATGGATTGTTTATTAGTTTATGAATATACCGGTACATATATTATACTTATAGAACTTCGTTTTACTATACCTTCACAAAATTTACAGGATCTAGCACAATTTGCTCTCGCCCATGTTCCATATTTTTCAGAACACATGGATACACCATACTCTACACAATCATCTTTCGTGTCTGTACAATCTGAATATAAAACACACGGTCTAAAATATATTGCACCTATGGAAACCAGACGAAACCATCAATAGTTATTGATTTGATATGAATTAAAGAGGTCTAGCAAGCTCTCTTAACTGTACTCGGGGCTAGCATACCATCGTCAGCCGAGATAAATCTTGCTTTTTTTTTTTTAAAAAAAACGTTCATATGCCATAGGGGCTGACAAGTAAAGTGTTGGTCAGTTCGGATAAAACGTAACCCATATAATCAAAGCTTGGCAGTTGGATGTCAGCCGATTAAAGTTGGCGGAAACGCTCCAGTCCTGGCAAATTCCAACACAACATTGCATACGTGAATATAAAAAAATAGATATTTGTATGTTAGTCTCATAGTATTGTGTTGACGAGGTGCAAAACTACATTCATAGCCTTTAAGTTGGTGGGATTTAAGTTTTCTCGAATATATCTCCTGGTTCACAAAAGAAAAAAGGAATTACTCACTCTGATCATATGGTATAGCTGGTTCCTTGGGTGTAGGATATACTCTAGTATCCTTTTCCGGTCCCAAAATCAACCCTCTGACCGTAGTAATCACTAAAATGAATCTTATTATATACATGTCACTGGATGTTAGGGTGTTGTAAAAACTAGTACAAATATGTTAATGTGTGGTGATAAGAAAATAAGAAAAACAGGTGGAAAAAATCTCATAAAAACAGATAATATATTATTCATTCATTCATAAGAACAGAGAGCCTGACTAACTGTGGCCATCTTGTTATTCAATCTGTAAGTTTGGTCCACATTAGAACAAAACCAAGTTAAATGAAATGAAATGAACTAGAGTTTAACGTCCTACTGGTCTGCTCCTACTGGGCTAATGAAGACGGACATACGCCATACCGTGTTCTATGGAGGACATTTTGCCCGAACAGCCGCGCTACGGCCTGCTCTTATATCGAATTCCAAATGCCAAAGGATATTTTACGTTCACCCCTGTATGTATACGGGACCTCGGTTTTTCGTTTCATATGAACGACTAGACAGCTGTCCTTGTCGGGCCCTCCGTCCTGCATCACTGACAAGGGGAAACCCCGCCGGAAAATCCCTATTTACCTTCTCCTTAGAATAAAACAAATATACAATAATAAGTGTCAGTGAAAACGAACGAATGAATAACAATTAGACAATAATTGGCTAGACGTTCTTTATGTATGACTCTGGGTAAAACTATGGGTGATTTGCGATCTTTAATACATACATCGAAGCTCTCGGTTAATTGTCGCGCCTTTCTTTTCACAGGTCACAATTTCATGGAATACAATTACTGCTTCTTATTCTTTATGAGCGACGGTCCGAGTAGGCTTCTCTAGTCAGTGAGTAAAACGCTCGCTCACTACCCAGAATGTCCATTGTTCGTCCCTGGTATTGTACGATAATGTTCCTGGGTCATTCCATGTCAAGTGGACCAGTGCTTGTCAGGTGACCCCCTCAGAATATTATGAAAAAAATATATGTTAGGGTGCATACAAAATGCAAAGTCATAGGACTCTAGCATTAATATGGGCTGAGATATGGGGTAAAGTTGCATGTACACGTGTCTATCAATGATGAAAGGCCCATCTTTGACATTTTACTCCTTCATTAAACATGTGATAGTAACAACTTCTAATATAATATAGTAAAATTTCTACAGTGTATCGAAATATTGATTTTTAGGGTACCCCGATTGAAAAGGTCATCTCTCATTCAATATTAATGCTAGAGTAATATAACTTTGCAGTTTTATATAAGTTTGTATATACTATAACATTAATTTTTTTTCTTAATTTTCTGAGGGGCTCACCTGATAACTTGACATGGAATGGCATAACTCTACTCGGAATTTCCAGACGGGTGTAGAACTTCGCAGGGCGACGCGTCTAATAGTTCATGCAGGCCCTGCAAAATATTTCGAGCTAGTTACGGCCCTGAGTTCGAGTATATCATTGACAGCACGTTACAGATGACTGAATGTTGGTCATTGAAATAAGAAGTATGCTCGTCTTTATAAGCCTTGGGGAGTTGGATGGCCGAATGTCCAACCTCGTGGGTTTTTCTCCTGGTCCTCCGATTTCCCCCCACTGCTAAACAACCCTTACGCGCAAGCGAATTATTGAAATAAAATTAAACCATACGTTAGTCCCAAAATGACCTAGTGTGTGTCGAGTGGACGTTAAACCCAATTTCTCTCTCGCTCTCTTTCTCTCTCTCTGTCATACATCACCGGAAAGTAGGTTTCTATAGTTCTTTAAATCTACTTATTATTTTCTGGCACATTCACGATTATATACTTTAGAAGAGATAAAAGCATTTTTATTTTGAGCAAAGAAATGGGTTACTAAAAATGGACTACTTTCAATTCATTTTATTTATCGAAGGCTCGAATTAGCCCATACCGAGCACGTCATCCACCGAATTTGGTAGTGACGGTCCTGCTTGATTCGCAGTTAGTGAAGGGTAAGTATTCTTAGTGAAGGATGAGATAGTGAGGGCTGATTTGATCTCGGCAAGGGACAGCACTCTATTATTCATGGCCGCTTCAACATTGATAAATAAAGTTGACAACCCGACATCACGACACCACGACAACCCGACAGCACGACATCACGACATTTTTACGCGACAATACGACATTTTTACGCGACATTACGACATTTTTAATGTCGTGGTGTCGGGTGAAAATGTCGTAGTTTCGGGTTAAAATCAGCCACCATATATGCCCGTCTTCATTATCCCAGTTCGGAGCAGAACAGTAGGACGTTAAACCCTATTTCATTTTATTTCATTTTCTCTTTATAAGCCCTGTTATTGCAGACCTGCGGGGCTTAAATCCCATTTCATTTATTCCCATTGCAGATTCAGTATATTTCAAATTTCGGTTGTCACAACTTCCTCCGTTTTCCTCTCGATCACTTCTAAAGATACTTACGAAATATAATTTCTCGCTATGACCTTGTTTCTGTCTGCTGCGTTGGGGTGGAACGAGAACAGTGTTCATCATACGAAATGGGATCACATATTAACGGTTAAAACACCTATGGCAAGGGCCAATTCGTTAAGAAAACAAATCATTTCACCACGGCAAAATTTTGCCGCTAGAGGACACAATAAACCAGTATAATTCTGATGCCTTTAAGCTGCAAAATCCAAAACTCCAGAGCTATTATAATTGTGTTTCATTTGTTCCCTAAACTAACCCCAAACAACCGATCAGAAACAGTACCAGAAATGGGCTTTAGATCGGTTTCTGCTAAATTTAGCTGATTAATCATTGATTTTGGGTGACTAATATGTCACCGGTCCAGCGATCGTAAACTACACCCAAACAACATAATTATTGCGCAGATGTGACAGAGGAAGAGTATAAATATTTTGTTACAAAAATTAGCCCTCTCAATGATAATGTAGATAAATTCGCTAAACCATGAACCGCCTTACTAATACCCCTGTCATACCGGGGTGGCGTCCTTACTGTGCTGCTACGGCGACGGAAAATGGTCTCAGGGTAGGGCGTGTCTAGATTGCAATAAGCGTGGTAAAAGCGTGGTGGAAACGTGTAGCACCATGGGCCTTTCTGTCAGACGTGGAGAGCGGGAGATATCAGACCGGTCGCCACATCCTACGTACGACCCAAGCATCTTTTCTTACTACATATTTCTGTAGCCTTGTGATCGTCTAGAATTTGTCTCTAGCTGTCTTTACTTCTGCTTCACGTTGTGTATTTACTTCTACAGTTTTCTTTAGACGTTTGTCTTAACAGGAATAACAATAGCTGCAGATTTTAAAACGTATAGAGATTCATAAAGAAAGGTGGGCGAAAGAACACATGTTTATAAATGTGGACGTATAAAAACTGTGGGTTGAATTCAATATTAAATTACAGATTTATTCAAACGGTTGGTGTTTTAAGGGATGGTAGTACTGGTATATTGGTTGCCATAGGTGTTGGTATGTGGATGTCTGTCACGGTACTTTCAGCTGATGAAAAAGAGAAACATTTTATATAAGCTTTATTTCTTTTTGACTAGACGCATGCACGCTCTATATTTGCCCTGTAATACGTAAACAATGCATGTTATAAAATACACTTTGTAGTTATCGTAAATTACGTTTCAACCAAGTCTAAATTAACAGTACCTAGCCGAAAATCTCCGATAACTTAATGTATGAACACCAGTCTGTGACAATGTTTTCACAATAAGTCCATTCATTGGAAATCTATAGTCAGTCATTCCGTTTAGAAGACACTAGCAGTTCGGAGCAAACCAGTAGGACACCAGCTCAGTAGACTTTATCTGACCAAAGAGATTAAGCTCTCTGCGCTGTGCATGATGTTCGTGTTTCAAATGCTGCGTCTCTATGTATATGCCCACTGTAACCCATACTTATTTTGCATATACACACTGTAATACAAACCTGTTTTACACATACACACTGTAATACTAACCTGTTTTACACACACACACAGAGTAATACGCACCTGTTTTACATATACCACATGTTTTTCTACAGTATTCATACACCCATGATCTGTATAAAACATTCACACATAGAGAAGGTTCATGTTGCTTACAGTTCGATATTTTGTCATGACAGGCTAATACTTCGGTAGTATGACCATCTAAATAATTGAAATCATTAAAACAATTTAACATTCAATGATCTGTTAGACAAACACCCGAAACGTAAACGTAAATAAAGACGAGCATATGTCATGCTGTGTGCTTTGAGTGAAGGGTTATTTTACGTGTACGCTAAAGTGTACACGTGTCTACAACTGACAAATGGAAATTCCCAGGAACTCACCCAGCTAACAGAGGGGTCGAATCCGGGACCTCTTGTGATCGTACCAGCGCCAGCAGTGAAACGACAGTATTAGTAGTGTTGACGCTATTATTTGTTAAACATTGAAAAGGCAGTACAGGATTGTTGACGTTATTATCTGTTTAGTACTGATATTTATAAGAAGCCTATATCTTCAGTCGATAATGCTACATATAGGTTACACCGGTGGTTCCCAACAATTTGTTGGTTGCGACCCCATTCCAGAAACCATCATCGAAGAACAAAGACACTTTTACTATGAAACATCATCATTATTTACAGATCAAAATGTTGTTATGAGAGACTGGATAAACAAATCGTGAAGGTAAGAGGGGAAAACAGTTGGCAATGTGGAGGTGTTACGTATAGATTAGAGATTTATATGCTTTTCATAAAAAAATAACATTTTTTCAAAAGTTTCAGAGTGGTCAGCCACAGCTCCACGAAAAGTGCTCTGCAACACCAGCTGGAGTAGCGACCCCGGGCTTTGGAACCCAGAGATTACACATTCCCCATGTCATGTTAATTTTGGGTCTAACGCACACGCTACAAGTCATGAGGCCCATTATCTTTCAAGTCTCGAGTTCTATCCAGGGTTTTCACCGGATACGCCCATTTTGTTCCTCTAAAACCCCTGGTACTGATAAAGTGACTTCCTTTGTATTTTTATAATTTGAATTTGTTTACCTGTACACACGCCACACATTTTGCGACAATTATGTTGAACCCAGTGTGAATTGTCACCACTACAAGCACTCTCTTTATAGTAAACACACCCTTCTGCATCAAAACAATCTATAAAAACACACATAATACCTGCATCAAAAACAATCTATCGTCGGTGGGGAGTCAAACGGTCGTATCTGGAAAGCTAGTTATTTGCAATTTTATACAGCAAAGACTATCCCAGGAAAATATTCGCCTTTACCTGTTTCAATTTCATAGATTTCACACAGTAGAGGCTCAACAATAATTTCAATAATACGTATTATAAAACAATACTGGCTATATTTCGTTTGACTGTAATATTTTGGTTAGACACAAAGTTGATTTTTTCAAGAAAATACGACATTTTCAGTCTTCATATAAATATTTTTTTTTTTTGGGGAACACCACATATATGACATTTTGAAACAATATCTATAAAAACATCGTTTTATTGGCTTAGAAATACGACAACTAGATGAAAAGATGCACAAGAATATTCTCATTCTGAAGAAGCAAAAAAGTGCATTTCGCAAAATATGCCAGATAAGACCCTTTGAATCCCCACCGACGCTATATAATAACACATACTACCACGATCAACACACAATGCCAGGGTAATGAAATACATTGATAGTCGGAAGCACATTTGGATATGGAATCTTGGTTCTTAATTCCATGAAAAAGCTTGGTTATAGAAGCACCTGTAGCAAGAAAATGACCGTGAAGCCCAACAATTGCAACATTACCTTTATGTGATTGTAAAACAAGATGGAGGGTATGGTTCTTATAACGGTACTAAACAGTCAACACTCAACAAGGTCTATTTTCAATGACTCGGATGTTATTGGAAATTTGTCAAATTTTAATTGTTCCAGGAAACAAGATTTTCAATGCTTCGTATGTAAAAAGAAAGTGTTATTTTAATTGTATTGGCACATGTTTGGACTTCGGGGAATTAATCAGTATATTCCATACGAACGAGCCACATCAAGTAAACAAGAACTATTCAGCTTGAAATGAATTTTAGACATGATGAGTATTGGGGTATGTTGATTATAGTAATCGTTGACATTGGCTGTGACGTGCATGTAAATTACACCTTATACAACTTACCAATAGGTGGTAAAGTTGATGTTAGAGCATCCAGTTGCTGAAGAACGTCAGCTGAAAAATGTTAAAAGGTAATTGATCAATTTATGAAAAGTGATTATTAATTACCATCAGTTTTTGTTTATAAGATGGTGGTTTAATGTTGGCAATACACCCCGACTAGTGCTTTTTTTTAAATTTGCTGTATTTTGTGTTGTTATTTTCTGTTTTTTAAATAGTTTAAAGATCGCTGATCCAAAGGTTGGGATTAATTAACTTATCCCTTGCACTTTGTTTCTTTTGTGGACTTCTTGCATTGATATTAAAAGAGTGCGTCAAATTCATGTTTGTGATTAGGATGTGTAGAACTGCTTGTTCTAAATGACATAAAACGATTATCTCAGTAATCTGAATAACTGCCATTTATATGTTTTCATCGTTGTACTAAACTGTTGAGATCGTGTCCGGGAAAGGGAAATACTAGAATGTCGGTTTTAATACTGTTTGGAGCCTTAAAGAATTCCTTTGTTAATTAAGCCGTGCCCACTTCCCGAAACAATGACTAATATCATCTACTTTCGAGACACACTTTGTTTTTAAAAAATGATAAGGGAAGTTTAAAGGTTGGAAAGTGGCCCCTAAAATGGCGGGAAAATGGTAATACCATATTTTGTCACATTTCATTAAAAAATTTGAATGTCTACTTACGTGGACAGAATCTACAAAATCTTCTGCATTTGTCTCTCGCCCAGTACATAAATTGTGGATCTGTACAAACTGTTTTAGAGTAAGTTTCACAATTACTCGCTTTGTCAGTACATTGGGGTGGTGTCGTGGGAGGTCCTATAAAGAGCAGAAAACCGTATATAAACATTTTCTAATCACGTACCTGTGAGAAGTATTCAATTGACAAAGCAATTCAACAAACAACCGTATTTGTCTCGGCTAGAAATGAAATTGTATGTGGCCAGAAAAGTAGGAAGACGTGTAACACATCGATATATGTATATATTTCGAAAGCAGCGCGATTTTGGAAGTAGAAATTTGTTTCAAACGTAACTATGGCCACACAATTCCTTTAGCAAAATTGAATCTAACCTTGGGCTTCACGTGTACATTATATATTTATAATCATATGAATCAGAAATGAAAACAAAAAATGCTTTTACTACCTTCACAAAATTTACAGGATCTGGCACAATTTTCTCTTGCCCATACTTCATGAGTGTCAGAACACACGGACCTACCATACTCGACGCAGTCATCTCTTGTATCTGTACAATCTGAATATAAAACTACAAATTCTCAGTCCACATATTTTAACGTATTCACCCAAGAAATTTAAAACTGGTGTAAATAGTAATTGATGCAATATATAAATAAACACAACACAGCTGATATGGAAAAGAAATCACTGACTATACACACACTATATATTGCACAACGTTTCGACAAGTGTTCTCTTATAGTTATCAAGCACATATAAATTGTGTTGTATTTATTATTGTACACAATCGCTAATTGCCACTCAAGGATTATGCGATATAATGTAGCAATGTCAAATGGTTAATGGTCTATACTATCAAAGATAAATCCAAGCAATACATAATAGATAACCCTAAATATTACTAGATATACAAGATGACCCTAAATACTATATTACTAGATATACAAGATGACTTTAAATATTACTAGATATACAGGATTACCCTAAATATTACTAGATATACAAGATGACAGTAAATATTACTAGATATACAAGATGACCCTAAATATTACTAGATATACAACCATTATACATGTATTGTCTCCCAGATTTTTTTAATCTCTGCCACTTTATATGCCTACTCCTTCTATGGTTCCTTCTATGGTTCGAACTTTCGGGGGTTTTTTTCTCAGTTTTTTCTCAAATAAATGTTTTGTATACTATAGAAAATTCACAAAAGAATATTGAAGCCTCGGTTACATTGCCTGTTTAAACAAAATGTATTCTCAATCTTCAAACTGTATCTGTGTGTCTCTAAATTATACATGTAAAACGCAGTAGTCGCCCTTCACATAGCAGTATTTTGTCTTTAAGCAACCATGCAATAAATAGTGCAGTAAATGATGGCTCTGTTCTGCAAAACTATTAGAGCCTTTTAAAGCGAAAGAAATTAACATTTGAAGTCAATAGGGAAATATTTGTAGGTCTGTCGTCGTTATGTGGAAGTAAAACGCAGTAGTCGCCCTTTACATGGCTGTCAACTAACAGACATCGCCATTTCTGAAACTTACATATTAATGTAACATACCGTTTTGCAAATTCCAATATGAGATTATATCGCCTCGGATCACCATAGATCGTCACAATAATGTTAATGTCAATTATAAAACACTAATTTTACTGTGCTGTTTATTGAATACCGCGAATTTGTACTGAATTAACTATTGATTAAACATTTTGTCTGGGGACACACTACTTTGTGCTACACGTTTTGGGAATTGATTATCATTTGTGAATGCAGCTCTAGCAGTGGGATTTGGGTTGCAAAAGCATTGAACAACTTAAAATGAAGTTGTTCGACTCGGGGGATCATATAGAATAGCATAAAAACGCATCTGTGGCAGTTAAATCTTCAAATGTTTCTCTGGGCGGTTGTGTTCTCCATGCCCCGCGACGCTCCATGGACCTAAACGATTGATTGGTTGTTTGGAATTCGGGTGAGCTACCTAAGTTGGACCACACAGAGGTTGCTGTATTCACTTGCAGGAAAGCTCGTTTATAGGTATCCAGTCTTTAAACGCTCTTGGACATCCCCTATACATTAAGCTCCGAAATGTCGGCGTACGCTGACGACCGGCGCTGCCGTCTGTAAACGTGAATTTCAGGTCTGCCCCCAAACATACATTGGGCCCGTTTATAGGTATCAAGTGTTCCAAACGCTCTTCGGCATCCCATCCACGGTAAGCTCCGAAATGTCGGTGCATGCTGACGACCGGCGCCGCCGCCTGTAAACGTGAATTTCAGGTCTGCCCCTAACATCCATCGGGCCCGTACGCTTATTATGATACTGTATTTTTTTATTTGTCACGTCTCAATTTCGATTCTTGATCAATTGTTTCCAGCAGCTGAAATGGAAATACTAAGGACACACTGATATACAATTACTGTTTAATACTAGCGGGTTTTTTTTTCGTTTTGAAAAAAAAAAAGACCAAGATACTTTCAACGGAAAGCAGGCAGGACGGGGCAAATTTCTCCCCATAACATGAAGATCCAAACATGTTCTTAATAAAATGAAATGGGGTCTAACGGCATTCTGTTCTGCACCGATTGGGCTAATGAAGTGTGCTATGAGGGAAATTTTCCCCGGACAACCGCACTTCGGCCTACTCTTATTTCGAATATGAACTACCAAGAATTTTTTTTTTTTTAAATTGAGTCATTTGCAAATTTTGACAAATAAATGAATGCCAAATAAAATATTTATCTTGGCTCATGTTAATCCTGATTTGTTACAATCTGAACATTTATTATGAAATTGTATTCTCATTCTAATACCGCTTCCTTCTGTTCTTATTGTTAGAAATTAAATCAACACTGAAAATTTTAAACTTTGTAGTGCGGTAACCAGTTTCTGGACTTTGTGTTAATATCTTACTTCTCAATTCTTTTTTAGTCGAAATTTTTTATACCCCATTTTCTGCCTGTTTACTCTTATATCAACAAAGGATGTTTGGATTTATATTTCCTTTTAGAGTTTTGGTGAATATTTACGATTTTGAGGCGGAAGGATAAAGGACAAAAATCATTGATCAGAGAAAGTCACCACGTAAATGACATCATACTATAGCGTCTGCGCATATCAATATTTTATATAGCTGAAATATTTGATATACGGTAATTATCCAGTTTTTATATATTTTGGAATCTGCCGCTTTGCTAAATTCCGAACTATAATATTTCAATGAGGTGTGACTTTCCATCAGGTGATCTCCGGTGGAAATGGAATGGGGTTTAACGTCCTACTGTTCTGCTCCGACTGGGATAATGAAGACGGACATACGCCATAAAATAGGAAATATTGCCCGGACAACTCTTATATCTAATTCCAGCGGTGTTTCTTCCCATCCGAACGACTATATGTTGTTCCTTGCCAGGCGCTCTGTCGTGCACCAATGACAAGGGGGTGGCGGAGGGGGGTGGGGGCACACGAGAAAATCCAAATGAACTTCTCGGCCAAATGCATGGATCAAACATGAGACCTCCAGGTTAGCGAGCCAACGTTTTACTCACTTAGCCACCGTGGCTCCCCAATCTCCAGTGGAGGTAATTTTGAATCCCTTTCAAATTACACCATCACGAAAGAAAAATCTCTAATTCATTTTATTACTTACAAAGATCTGATATAGTGATAGTTGGACAGTTTTCGTTATATAAAGCAGCAAGCGAAACCTGTAATGTGGTATCACACTATGTGGAAGCGGACGTTAAGCCCGACACCAAGTCAAGACTCGTCATTGGTGGGCCTATTTCTAATCCGATGATATTTTAATTTTGTTTTCGTAATGTTAAGTAATTATCATTTTGTTTATATTTTAGCTTGGATGTATGCGTGTAGAATGAGATATTGTCCGAAAGCTTTAAATGCGAATCAATTTACGTGGGAATACCTCCCTTAGAATAACGATGTGTCAATTGCATTGTACGCTAAAATATCAAATTTATCAAGGATAAAACGGCGCTAAATGTACTCAAGTTGGTTATTTAGTATTTAATTAAGAAACCAAAATCAAAATTCCAACGCTAAATAACCTCCAGGCTTAGATTCAATCGGATTCAAAATAGGCCCATCAATTCTGTTCGCCCACATCCAAATGGCGAGCAGCATAGATAGATGAATCGGGGGTTGGGATGGCCCAGTGATCTAGAGTGTTGCGCTTCGAGCTCTAGCTGATCGGTCGCATCTGGCTAGCGGTTGTGGTTTCGATTTCTGGTGTGGATGTATGTTGCTTGGAGATAGGGGGCGCCTTCCCAACCTCGTGGGTTTACTCTGGGTACTCTGGTGTCCTCCCATAGGAAAGGCCCTTGCGCCTGCGGTAAGCATAATAAAATACAACAACTTGTCCGAGATATTTCCATAATAGAACATATCTTTGTAAATACTGAAAGGGATTGAAAAGTTTTAGACCGATATTCCTATTTAGTTTGCAGAGCATTCACATAGCGCTAAAATGAAGCAATAAGACTTTAAGTGCATTACTTACTTTGGTCATAAGGATTAGGTGGTTCTAAAGGTGTAGGATATATTATTCCACTGGTTGTATCCTGGGTCAATATAAACCCACTTACAACAGTAATCATAGTAATACAACTAATTATATACATGTCTATATATCTTTAACAGCAACATATTACATAATATAATATAGGTGAATTAAATATGAAGATAAGACAACCAGCTGGTCAAATCACATGTTAACAGATAATTTCATCTGTTAACATACCACGCTATGTTCAGTGTAAAATGACACCGGACAATTAGAAATGGAAGAAGGGTGATGGATAGAGGATGTAGTTTCAACGGGTGTCTTTCAGGTTTTTTGGAGGGGGGGGGACCTTTTTTTTCTTTGAGGAACTGAACACATCATCTACCGATCACCATGTTTATAGATCCTTATATTTACTGACCTCCAGTATTTGCAGGGAACCAAAGTGGCTCGGTTTTTAAGGCGTTGGCTCACTACGCAGGACGTCCCTTGTTCGATCCACCTGTTTGCTGAGAAAGTCATCGGGATTTTCCACACAGGTTTCCACTTCGTCAGTGGTGCAGAACGGAGAGCCTGGTATGGAAAACTGTTAAGTCGTTTGGGTGACACGACCACCCGACATCCCGTGAACACGTTCGCGTGCACGTAAAATAACCATTGACAATTGCAAGGCAGTTGCTATCCGAGGAAAATTTCTCTCGTAGCACATTGTATGGCGTATGCCCTTCTTGATTACTGAAAAGTAAACCGTTAAACCCCATCTGATTCACCCAATCCATTATTTCTGATCAAATCCCACTGTGTGCCCCATCGCATATTATAAAGTGTGGGAGGACCGCACCATACACAAACAAAACCTAGAAGACAAACATGCTGACAAGACACAAACTACACGGACATTGCAAGCAATAAACAACAAATAAAGTTCAAGGATCCGGGGGTCAGCCGTAAGCTTTGACAAACCAATAATATACTTCAATTGGCGTCCATTCGTAATCAAAAACCACAGGCAGGTAGAATCCAGGCATTAAAAGTAGGATATCTCAGAAACTATATTCGAAATGATGAAATTTGGAATATGTTAAAGGAGCTAACCTATAACTTGCCGTGAAAATATGTGATTCTAGTATCCAATATTTAAGATATAATGAACATAAAATCAGGAGACGAGTCGTGTATTCTACGGTTTTGGTGCCATTTGAAAGCATATCCTAGTACAAGACAATGCAAAAGTAATTAGTAATGGTGATTCACAAACGATAAAATCATGATTTAAAAAACAAACTCGTAGAAGAGACTAATCAGGCGTAAACGACTGCTGTTCAATTTCGACTATTCACACGTATTTCACCGAAAAATATTGATTAGAAATTACAAAAATAGATTAATTTTTCGTCTAGTTTAAGGTTCTAAAAAGTAGAGCCATACGCCCTTAAGTTAAAATATGATGAAGAATGAATATATTGAAAATTTCAGTCACAATACTTTACTCTGAGCGAAGCTATGTGTTTGAAGTTTTGACAACATAGTTGCGAATGTCAAATAACATTGCTACGATAATAACCACAGTGTCGACGATCCACTGTTTACGTTAAATTAATAAATGGCGAATATGCTTTAATCCATTCAATCTCAGCAATCCATTGGTCTAGAGAGTTGATTATGGGCTTGTCATGAGGATAAATCAAGGAGCTTTAATGGAGCTTCTTGTGATAAATGCCTAATTAATAATTTATATAACATTTACATCCAGAAAAATACCTGTAATATGAAGATTTAACTCTTACATGATGCACCTTTAACATACCTATATCTATCTTCATGTTTACGTTCTTATCAATACTAGGGATCACGGTGGCTAAGTGGGTAAGACGCTGGCTCGCTAGCCTGGAGGTCGGGTGTTCGATCCCTTCATTGGCCGAGAAAGTTCATCCAGATTTTCCGGCGTGGTTCTCCCTTGCCAGTGATGCAGGACGGAGGGCCTGACAAGGACAGCTGTTCAGTCGTTCGGATGGGACGAAACACCGAACTCCCGTGTACACATTGACAGTTGGAATTCGATACAAGAGTAGGCCGTAGTGCAGCTGTTCGGGCAAAATGTCCCTCATAGCACATTGTATGGCGTATGTCCGTCTTCATTAGCCCAGTCGGAGCAGAGCAGTAGGACGTTAAACCCCATTTCATTTCATTTCATTTCTTAGCAATACTGGAAATTTAAATTAATATACCAATAAAAATACTGCATATATGAAAGTTACGTTCATCCATGAATAAGGACATCATCGACATTGTCAGCACGTCATGCTCTATTTCTGTATTATGTAGATTCCTCATGTGTACTGATAAGTCATAATTATCACCTATATACTAAGCTTAGATATAAAATACTGTAACATATTACAATTCCCAATACACTACAACCAGCTTTAACTGAAGTGTCATATTATTTCCACGAACGGTTCTTAATTGAATCTAGTCTGTGCAAATTTGTCATCAATATGACAAGAAAGACGGCCGATATTGGCCAAGCTCTAAAACGTTTTACTCAATAACCACTTCATATTACCCGAGGCGGAAACAGCGTTTATCAATACCGCGTTCTAAGCTCAACTAAAACAGATGGAATATGATCTATTTATGATTTAGATTTTAGATAGAGAAATGCTAGCATGTTGATGTGATCATAGATTTTTTTTCTGTCACAATAAGTATATTATGAATATGATAAATGTTTAGGATTGTTCCGTATAGTTTGTGAATCCTATTTTCTCTAATCCTTTGTCTCTAATCGAATTTGAAAGAGTCGCAGTATCTAATTATAATCTAGTATTTAATTAATAAAACACAATTAAAATATTAACATTACATAATATCCCGATTTGAATTCAATCGGATTAAAAAGGAGCCCATGAAAATATTTTACCCAACAGTTTGCAATGGAGTCAAAATCCCTAAAAGGAGTCACCGTTTCGAACAAATTGTATAAAAAAATTGATTGTAAAAAAGACTAAGGCCACATGTAATGCTAACATTTATCTTTTAAAGTCACTACAGAAACACGTGTCGTCATACTAATCGTTGAATGTTCGTATTATTTCTAAATTCTATCAGTTTAACCCCCTGGTACATATATTCTTGTATAATACGCATAGTTTATCTCTCTATAAGTTCATGTCCTATAAGAACCATAGCCAGCCGATTATTATAGTTTCAATGGTTGTATTTGAGTAATATTTGTAGATAACCATAATATAGCACGTTTTAATACCAAGCACCGACTGGAGATGATTGCATTTTATAAATTAGTAACAAAATTGATATTCAAAATAACACAACTTGGATTTCGTGATAAATATACCTGTACGATTATTGAAACGTTGTATGTAGTAAACCAATAGTAAATCCATAAAGTTGTGTTATTTTGAATATTATGCATCTATCTTCTTTTATTGACATTTAGTAATTGAACATATTAACTCAGAGTACAATTGTTATTTAAAGGGACAATAACACTCTTGCTGGCTTGAAAGCTCCAGAAAATAAATAATATCTCTATCTAAGTACTAGATGTTTAAGTGTCCTACCTGTTGTGTAAATTATCCATTACATCCTATTTTATTTGTTCAGAGGGTTCGAAAATATTTTTAAATCGAAGTTTCATTTGAAAAGGTTTACGTTAGACGTTTCAAACCATTATGTTGAATATTTCAAAATTATTAAATAAGGTGTGTTAAGATGAAATTTGTATCATCAATTAATTGAAATATTCTAAAATAGTACAATTTGTTGACCAGAATAAAGATTGGGACATATTATTCAGTTACAACAAAAGTGGTATTGAGCCTTTAAGGATATTAACAATATTGCTATTTTAATAAGAAAATACATATTCTTTAAGAGTTCCTATAGTATAGTATTCTATAATTCGTTATTGGAGTTCAGTCTTGCAGAAAATATTCTAAATGATTGGTTACATGTAAACTTTGATATCCAAATGGGAATATAAAATTACATAAAGTTAAATTTTTACAGCGAGCTTATGAATTATATATACATTCAATATAATATGTAAATTACCTTGGTTGTACATAATTTTTCTGAACCCCGAAATGGAATAGATAATAACGAAGAAAAATAATCACAACTCTATTCGTTTTACTGTTCTTTTTAAATTCACATATCCTTTTTAATTTTCTGTCATGGTTAATTTTAATTTGCATTTTAAGTCAGCCCTGCAATTTGTTGCAAACATGAAACGATATATAAATTTCTCACTGTTTGGAAGACGACGACGTTAAAATGAATTAATTATTACTTTTAAATTTGTGTATAAATAGAAATTAAAGAAATATCCCGAAGGGGGCACAAAACCTCTTATAATTACAAATAATTGCCCCAATTTATGAAATGGACTTAGATAGTGATCAGTGTTGATACGGTACTAATTCTTTGTTTAATTTAATTATCTGCCAACGATTAACTAATTGGCTATCATTATTGGCCTCCCCTAGAGTCGAGCACGCTCCCCTACGATCGTCTGTATTTATATATCGAATAGCAGTTTTCTATTACACGATCTGCGGCTTGTTATCAGAGAAAACGGAATGTGGGATCTTCAATAAAGTCTACGAGCAGTGCAACAAACGAAGTAATAGCTATGATTTAATAGGCTAACATCTCGACCAGTGTTTAATGTTATTGGATAGCGTTAAAACTGTTTACAGCAAATACTGTCGTAAAAGCTGTAGTCAGTTAATGACACCAATATTACGCCGTGTAATGATTCCTTTAAGACCTTTTGACACGGAGAGCTACAAATATTTGCTTATCACGCGTTGTATTGGCCATTAATTTTGTAAGTGACAGTTCTTCGCCCGCTACGAGGGTCCGCAATATAATAGGACCCCAGAGATGGCACTATTAGAACGCATCTAAAAGTACCGGTACACATGACAGTTGCTCTACGTCTTGATAAAACGTCTGCAACACGCCGATCGTTTCGAGTAAGAGGTTTCAGCTTGATTTAATCCTTAATAGATTTATACTTGCCTAGCTATGTCTCGTTCATTTTCTCCATTATTTAGCGAATCGTTAGATTGATTTGTGCAGTGGGACAAATAATTTCAGCCAAATTGAAGGGTATTTTGCAATAGAGCTTGTTATAATCAGGCGATAAACGGTGAAGGAGACCAGGCGCTTAGTCAGATGGGCAGAAGAATTTGATGAAGATACAAGCCAAGCTGGTGCCAAGTGAATGGGCTTTAATAGTCCTATTAACAACTACACTATTCTCAATTGATGATGATGGTGGTCGCTTAAGGCTGAAAACTGAACTGGATTTTTAGCAGCAATTAGAGACAGGCATTATTGACTTTATCTCACAATCTATACAATAATTTTTTTATATTGAAGAAACCAGAAGCGTTCAATAATTGAGATTGTTGTGGTATCGACTTAAACGAATACTTTTAATAGTTCAAGTGGATCACTGATTATCTGGCAGAAACATTCTAATAGCCTGCCTGGCAGTTCTATTCTCTCGCTTTGGACTGTTTAATGCTCAGCACCTTCTCTGGTAGTAAAGAACTTTTAGGAGAAAACGAACACTTTTATTTATCGTCGCACGGAACTGATAAAAGTTTTGGTGTTTTGTGGATATTTAGAATTGATAGATAATCAAGTGTTACTTTTGTTCGGTATGTGTTCACATCACATGTTAAAAGACGTGATAATGATGCTATTGCTCGTGAATCACCAAATAATTTAGAAAAGAATAACAATTATTTAATAGTCAAAACTTTGTGTGCTCGTAAAACATTTTACGAGAAAACGAATACCGCTTTAATCGGCTACAACTGATAAGATATTTGAATCTGTGAAGTGGGTGATCTATAAAAGAATTATTCCAGAACACCAAACTTAAAAGTGAAACGTATATTTTTGTGGACTACCTTAAAAGTCTCGGACTAGAAAGATGTTTTGTAAAATGGATTCCCAGTTAACAACCGGAAACTATCCTATTGTGTTTACTCCCACAGCCATATATACAGCGCCTAGAACATGGCATCCACATATATACGAGAATACGCCAAAAAGACCAACACCTTTCCGGATCGTGGATATTCTTGGTGCCTCCGATGACAGGAGCAAAGATAAGTCGTCATCTACCAGTGTCCATCATGGTCATTCCATTTCAAACAATTCATTTACGTGTTTTTCGCCGGACAATCGAATGGACGATGACCGTTCTAGACAAAATTCTGACAGTCCCGGTTCGGACACGCTCATCGGTAAGTACATGTTTAGTTTATTTAGTGGGTTTGTTATTTTGTTTCAGCTGATTGTAAAAGTATTATGCCTACCCCACCCAATCCCACCATATTACCCACCGTCTGTACTTGTGATTAAGAGATTACCATTTACCATTTGTATTACCATTTTATCCCTATCAAGAAATGAAATGAAATTGGGTTTAACTTCCCACTTTTCTTTACCGATAGGACTAATGAAAACAGGCATAGGCTACTGTGTCTATGAGGGAAATTTTGCGTTAGGGACTGTTCGTATTTCTTTTACATGCACGCCAACTTATACACGGCACTTTGCTTTTCGTCCCATCCGAACGACTAGACTCTGTTACTTGCCAGACCTTGACATGGGGAAGCCACGCTGGACAATTTCGGAAACATTATCCTGGTAAGTGATCAAGCGGCTCGCACACTGAACAACCGTGGCTCCCAGAAATTCCTAGCTGTATAAAATGTATCAGAAAAAACTTAATATAAGTTTTATATTGGTTTATTTTATGAAGACCAGCGATAAGTATGATTTTCTTTCAAAATATATCTGTTCTTGTTTTAAATGATAATATGGTGCTGTTATTTTCTTGATTGTTTATCAAAGTTTTTGAAATTAAAAACAAAATATAAAGAAATAATTTGGTTTGCCAGGTGCATTTTTTTTTCTCAAATCAAACTTTTGTAAAGAACATAATACTGAGTTATTTTTAAAGTAATATTGTTACAAGTGGTAATTAGCATGAGTGAACTGCTACACTGACAAGAGGGTTTGGGTGGCCGAATGATTAACGCGTGCGTGTTGCATCATAAGGTCTGTCATTGAGTCAAGTGGCGCGGTTTCGATTGCCCGCATATGGTACGTCCTCGGGTTTCCCCCTACTGCTAAAGACACCTACGTGCACGCGAATTAATGAATCAAAATTTAACCATATGATAGTCTCGAAATTACATGGTTTGTGCCGAGTGGAGGTTAAACCCCATTTTGGTCCCGAAATGACCCTTTTGCGTCGATTTGGAGTTACCCCGCCTCTCTCTCTCTCTCTCTCTCTCTCTCTCTCTCTCTCGCAAGCGAATTATTGAAATAAATAGTTTGTGTCAAGTGCACGTTAAACCCTATCTCTCTCTCTCTCTCTCTCTCTCCTTTCCCTTCTGCTCTGACAAAATCCACCCTCAAATGGCAGACTTAATTATTGCCAGATTGTTAAACCTTATGTCAGTCTCAAAATACCATTAACGCTAATCCACCGAGAAAATATATCCACGTGTTTAATTCAAAGTCGTCGTGTTATGGCTGGCCAAATTAACCATTTCATTTAATCTCGGGATGTTGCGATAGCTTTGTATGTTTACCAATATTATTATTTCATTTGACTTATCAAAGTTTGCTTACAGATGAAAATATGCAAGTCCTATGGAAGCTTTCTAATGAACAAAAATATCCAATTGGCGTTTATTTCATACCTCTTTTTAAAAAACTTTATTTATGTTACAGATGTAGAAAGTCACAAAAATGACAAAAGAAAGTCCGTGGATGAAAATAAGGAGGATTCGGCCTCTAGTTCTGAAGATGGACAGGCCAAGAAAAAAAAAGCTAGAACGACATTTACAGGACGACAAATTTTTGAATTAGAGAAGCAGTTTGAATTAAAGAAGTATTTATCATCGGCTGAAAGAGCTGATATGGCGAATCTCTTAAACGTCACTGAAACCCAGGTAGGATACTATAAGAGTTACAATCTGTAGGTCCGTACACCAACTTGATAACACACAAATATTTAAAAATGGTAAAATAGTTTAGTTGAATACGTAACGTTTAATTATTAGACTTTCTTTAGATTTTATTAACTAAGACAAAATGAAATTCCGTCTTAATTAAGGATGAAATGAAATTCTGTATTAATTAAGAAAAAATGAAATTCTGTATTGAATAAGATTAAATGACGTTCTGTGTAATTAAGACAAAATGAAATTCTGTATTAATTATAAGCCACAATGAAATTCTGTATTATTTAAGCCACAATTGAATTTTGTATTAATAAAGTCAACATGAATTATGCACCAATTAAGACAAAATATATAATGGACACATAATTTTATTACTTTATTATGTCTTAATAGGTTTAGAATTTAATTTTGTCTTAATTGGTGCATAATTCATGTTGACTTTATTAATACAAAATTCAGTTGTGGCTTAAATAATACAGAATTTCATTGTGGCTTATAATTAATACAGAACTTCATTTTGTCTTAATATATATATATTATGTAATATATAATTATGTAATACGATATGAAGGCGAAAGCCTCGCCATATTACACAAGGTAACTTCATACTGAACTTTTTATAAGAACTTAATAATTTTAGAAGTAGTTTTTGTTATTGTATTGGCGTTATCGAGCAGCTTTTTAGCTGGATTTTGGGCGCCTTATAAATGAATAAAATTGTTATTAAATTAATATTTTGATTTATACGAGTGGAATCACACAATTATTGAATCATTCCCCAAAGAATAATTTGTCGCTTTTCACAGGAAATCATTGAAATTCTTCTTGAAAGTTAGAGACTTTTCAGCTCCTCTTCAGATTTTTTCGTTAAATATATACACATTATATTTTTTTTAAATAACATTCACAGTCTAATATAAAGTTGAATTAATTTGAATAAAACACATTTAACAATCAATGCACAAATCATTACATTCATTCATATTAAAAATGACCGAAAGACATATGAATTTACTTTGAAAAGTAAAAGATACGAATATATCTTAAATAAATATGCCAATAAATAAATAAATAAAATAAATACATTCAAAATTACACGATAATATAGGAATTGCATATTCTCCATCCTTTTGGAAGAAAGTGGGCGGTGAGTTTAAAAACTGATAGCAAAAATCGTTTAAAATTCACCTGATAATAAAATATGAAAGTTACAATTAGCCCGCTGTTTATTATGCTAGACTTGTGTTCAATGATGTAAGCATGTGATGGATAACTCTACAGGAGTTTTTAAACTGACATGTTGGACACCTTAGACAACATATGGTCCGCCATTAAACATGTTAATGATTAGCTAATTGTATCACAAGTGGTTTCTTCATCAGATTTCTCGCTATGTGTCGTAATAACTATGTATGTTTGCTTTAAGTTAATGTTAAAAGCTTCGTCAATGCCATGTGTGTGTGTTTTTATACACCGATTCCTTGTTTACCAACTGACTTTAAAGTTCTGTTCGAATGGCTCTACAGTTCTGGCACTAGCGGCTATTGACGATGTTTTAAGCGATATGTGACGAGTTACATCTACAGTAGTTATTTATAATGTTTTAAATATACATATTAATATAATATGATTATTATAACAGTTCTTGGTACATGAACATTTTAACAAACATTCTAAATAGATTAGATAATAATGATAACTGTATACGAAAATATATAGCAATATATGTGTGTATTTTTTTATTATTTTTTATTAAATATATGCCAGTTTCGTATATATTTGCAAAGCTGTTCATTAGCGCACAGGGTGCAAAGACGCCAGATAATAAACTCCATTTTAAATTCCATGTCAAACACTCTTCAAACATGGGGAGCCACGGTGGTTCAGTAAGTAAGACGTTGGCTCGCTAACCTAGAGGTTCCGTGTTCGATCCCTGCGTTGGCCGAGAAGGTCTGACCTTGTCAGTGGTGCAGTCCAGAGGGCCTGACAATCGAAAACGTATAGTCGTTCGGATGGGACGACAAACCGAGGCCCCGTGTACACATTGGCGTGCACGTTAAAGATCCTTTGACAGTTGGAATTCGATATGAGAGTAGGCCGTACGGATGCCAGTTCATTTCTCTTTAAAGATCTAGTATTAACACCGGTACTATAATTTAGGCAATTACCTAATACTTGCTATAAAAGTTGAAATAATTTTAATCTGAAGTGTCACTTTGATTAATGATGGGAAAGAATCGGAAAGATTAAATTTTCGTATCGAAATATTATCATTAATTTGGTTTATGCCGTTTACATATATGATTTGATGTGTGAATGGTCTCGATGTCCACTATCAAAAATTGCTTGTCAATATTCACCATCGACTTTATTTAGAGGTTGCATGGCGACAACTTACCCCACTTTGGTATTTTGGAGACTAACACCTCACTGTTACCTTCTCTATGTCAAATCAACAGCTCTGGCGCAACAGGGACCACTGTAGTCAAGCTGTCAGGTAACTTGACTCTAGAATGCCCCAAGTTTTAACGAATCTCTGCGTGAGATTTTCAAGTCCATTTTAACGTTTTTTCCCAGTCGTTCTGATGGGACGTAAACCGACTACCACCATGCAAAACATTGGCGGTCACGTAAAGAACCTTTGATAGTATTGCACACGAAAATGACTGCAGAGTTAATCCCATTTTCCGTGTACGACTTTTCGCCGTGTTTCCGCGCGCGTTTTCGTCGGTTACACGTAAACAGTCCCATTACATTTGCGAAAACGTGTATATGGAAAACGTGGCTTAAACTCCATTTCTCTTGTTCTCTTGACAGTACTGTTTTAAGAAGGGTTACTCAACCATACAATATGAAATTACCATAAAACGTTATTTCATTTTGAATATACGATTAAACACACTTTCAAATAATAATTTGTAGTGTGCTGAAATTGAAATAAATTGGATGGGGTTTAACGTCTCGGCAACAAAACACTCCGATCATTATGATACTAATATGATAATTTTGATTGTAAATATGCGAGATGGCTTCTTCGAATTCTAACTGTCATGGTTTCTTTAATGTGCACGTCCGTCTTCATTAGAACAGTCGGTGCAGAAACGTAGGATGTTAAACCCCATTTCATTAGCGTCCTACTTTTATGCGCCAACTGGGCTAATGAAGAAGAGCAAATGATAAAGATTTAAAATAGACATCCTATGGACGATTAAACAAAATTATGCAATACACCCCCCCCCCCAACACACACACACACACACAGACACGCACACCTTTCTCCTGAAGATATAACAACATCGTGTGATGAATATTTGTGATTTAAAATTAATATTTATCTTGTAATTCTTACTGTTATATAATTGTATTTATTCACAGGTGAAAATCTGGTTCCAAAATCGAAGAACAAAGTGGAAGAAGCATGAAAACATTTCATCATCAGAGGTGGCTCAACATAAATTATCAGCAGAAAAGAATCTTCTCAAATCTCTGAAAAACAAAAAGCAGGAAAATGGCAAGGAACAACAATCAGGTACCTCAGAGATAGGAGAATCATCAAATCATACGACGATAGAAGCCGAAGAATCTCAGTCTCAAATAACCGATTCAACAAAAGATTTCTCATTCGGTTGTTCCGAAATTTTAAATCTCTCATGTTCTTCGAGTGTCGGGAAAGCAGCAGATATCAATTCGGATAAGGACAGTTGCAATAAAGAAGCAGAAGCGTCTGCAATTCAAAGTGAAATAAATGAAACACGGGGTTCAGAGAAAGAAGACATTGATAATTCGTTTCGTTTTATCTCCGAGAAACAAGTTATACCAGACTCTCATTGACAATCCCAAAAACACATAATCGAGCAAACACTAAAACGAAATTTAATAAGTTTGACGAACAATGTTTTGTTATCATTTAATGATTACATCGAAGGAGGAGAATCCACTTGGGGTGTTGTTTGTTTTCTAAACAGATTCTACATTAAGTGAAATGAAAAACTTCTCGTTCCCATTTGTCATTAAAGCGAATCGTCTCCAGATTTGCGGCTGGTTCGCATTCCACCGACATATTATTGCCACGGGAAAAATAAATGGTTCAATACTCATCCTAGTTATAAAAAATCTTTTGAGAAATTTAAAATGGAAACCGGATAATTTTAAAATCCCAAAAGTTTTCAGAGGACTTGGTTCCTTTTATTAGTGCTATATATATATATATATATGTGTGTACATTCTGTATCAATTTTTTTAATTGATTTTGTTTATTTGTTGTTGATAATGAATATCTGTATACATAGATAACTGCCAGAAGAAAATAACTACGATGAGATAGTAAAACACTATGTTTCTTCGCTAAAATTTTAAACCTGCCAATCAATAAATTGTAATTATATGCGAAGAATAACTTCCAGATTTATTGCATACTTCGTTTCAAAACATATATGTGTAACAGTATCAAATATTTATATATTAATCACTTTACTATAGGCTGCAGTGGTCGAGCTGTCATGCGACTAGAATGTCCCGATTTGAATCTTTGGGATCTGCCAAGCCCATGTCCCGAGTTCACAAAGCATTCCCAGATTTACGTTAAGAATTATGAGAAATATCTTTGATCCAGAAACAAAAAACTTTGAACATAGATTCTTAGTGATGTATTTGAAATATTAAAAAAACTAAAGTTTTATAAGGGGCCATGTTTTAGTTAACATAAGGCGAACAATTTTGAGAATTTTTTTTAACTAAAGTCGGAGAATGCTTTGTGAACTAGGGGCCGGATCTCCCTGTCAGCGGTAGCTCTAGTGGGACTCTCAAGTATTTGAAATATTAAAACAACAAAAGTTTTATAAGGGGCCATGTTTTAGTTAACACAAGGCGAACAATTTTGAGAAATTGTTTTAACTAAAGTCGGAGAATGCTCTGTGAACTAGGGGCCGGATCTCCCTGTCAGCGGTAGCTCTGGTGGGACTCTCAATGAAACACGGGCAAATAACATGACAGTTGACATTCCCCGTCGCATTGTACACATGACCATAGAAAAAATAAGCGGACCTTAGTCTCAAAATTACCATTCCCTTCTATTTTGAAATCATTTTTACTTGATAGCCCTGTCGGTCTTTATCTACCGAAAGGTGGTATGCCGTTATACATCTAGAAGTTCCTTGTAATATAATGGGTTATTTTTTCATTTGTATAAAAGTTCCTTCTTTTAGACGTTCTACGAAAATCAACTATTATATTACATTAACTATTAAACATACATTATGCAAGAGCTAAATCTGCCTATTGCAGGTCTTTCTTTAGGCCTGAAATGTTATCTAAATTATTAATTAGACATGAATTAACTTATCCAGACCATAATGAACTCCCGATGTCATCGCTAGCCTGCAATGTTTATTGGATTAGGTTCCGATTTGCTGTTCGACTTCCATTCGTGATTTAATCATGAAATAGATAAATGAGACTATGTTTTTTTATCGCACCGACTTTAGTAATGATGATCGAGGCTAGGCCGAAAATTCAATCGCTAAAATCTCGGTTCAGAGTTGATCAATTTGGCTGAAATTTTTAGCAAATTGTCTTTACATTATCTAGTTTTTAACTATTATAGTGAGAACTGCCAGCTCTTATCCAATCTCCCATAATGTATCTTTAATTTACACATCCTGAACATACATGTATATACTGTCATCCTCATTTGTATAACACTACTAGACAAAGACATTTTGTATTCTATAATATAGTGTATAGTTAAATTATTATTGTCCATTTAATGTGATATTGTTTCACCTCTATATAAAGATATGTATTAATAAACAAATGAACTATCTTACTGTATTTATCTCGGTTGTATGATTGTCTTGTTAATGTACTCGTATTTCCCACTGGACTCACGAACGAGTTTACCCATATAACCGTATGACATTTTCACTTAATCTGGTACAATTTATGACAGAAAATATTAAAGAAACAAAGACTTGAATCACTAATCTGGTGCCTTATTCGTGGTAACTTTAAAAAACGTAGATCCCTCTATTTTAAGAAGCCTAAATTACAATACTCACTAATATGTAAACTTGTTTGAGTTAACTCAGTATCTAGGAATTTTAAATGTTTGTGGAATTTGGCATTCTCCTTGGTAACCTATCGTTTGTTGCCTTTAGTAATAGACAGGCTATTATCATTGAATTGGATTCGTCGCCAAACTCGATATTTGATTGGTTTCATTGTGATATCGAATTATCCGAAAGTCGGAAACTCTAGTTGTTCTGTGCACATTTCAAATTTCTATAAAACATTTACTTATTACACACACGCTGAGGGTTTCTCAAAGCTGTCGCGGACTTAAAGTCTCGTTGCGTTATTTTAGCACAATACGAATCCCTTGCAAGCTACAGTATTGTGAAAGATTAATCTCTAATAGAACTATCGGTCGAAAAACGGTTTAGTTCGGTTCAGTATTTACACAGATATCTTGAAGTGAAATTACATAGATCTATGCTGCTCGCTATGTAATAAATCCACCGCCATTTTGTTGTGGGTGAACATAATTGATAGGACGATTTTAAATCCGATTGATTCTATGCCGGAAGGTTATCTAGCGTTGATATTTTGATTTTTTTTTTTGCCTTACTAAATGTTAACTAATCAATCTGAGTACATATATTAGCGTGGATTAAAACGTAAGAACTTTGATATTTTTAGCAAACGAATGCAAATGATGCATCGTTACTCTAAGAGCATAGCAATAAATTTGATCAAAATCCAGTGGACAAATGAAACTATATGTAAGAAAAAAATATCCCTACTTGAGAATAATGCTAGGTCTTTGAGAGGGAATGAACACACTCTGTCTGTCGCATCACACTTTAAGCTATACCTAAAAGACACATTAAGACACATTAAAAGGAACTATATCTAATATGGAATAACACTATCTGGTTGATTATTATTCCATATATAGGTTTTTTTTGTGTTACTGTACAATTACTAAATACCACCCTAAGAGATAACAAAAACAATCATCCCTCTCTCTTATCGACACTCAACCCAACAAAGCGCGACAAAATAAAAAATAAAAAATACAATGGCGTGCTTTAATAAAATCTTTTTTTTTATTTTAAAAAGGTTGTCCCGATCATACTGGTACTTTTAATGTCATCTTAATGGTAAAGAGCAATAAACTTGATGTTAATAATTATGCAGGTTGATTGTTTTATTTATCGCTGAGATAATAAATGGAAGACATTTAAATTAACATTAATACAACAAAAGAAAATGGATAGCAACAGAAATTAGTCAATCCGTTTACATTATTAATCGAACAATGGGTAATAAATCATTGTTACTTTAAGCCTTGAGTGACGTTTGAATAGAAAGTCACTACTTGATTAGTTAAGATGGCGGACAGATACTTGTGGAAGATTATCTCGGTCTTTGTTTTTATCTCTTTTTGGTGGTTATGTGAATAAAAGAATTAAAATGTTGTTAATGGCTAATATTGGCCCCGGATGTTCGTTTAGTATGTAATACATTCACACAGACAATACATAAATCAATGACTCATCTAAATATATATTAACTAATGAATTTAGGTGTCGGGAGTGCTAACGAATCTCTCCATCACAATTTTTTTTTTTTTAAAAATTAAAAACAAACAAATTAAACCAAACTACAGAAAAATATGCCCAACATGATGTCAGTTCTGGAAAAGAGAGATTATATTATGTCTTGCCATCTATAAAGAGATTATGTGAGATCTAGAGGATATTATGTTGATATATAAAGTCAATTGTTTATGAGTCTAGTTGTAAGTCTAACTGGTATCAAACGTTAACAGAACACAAGGGAAAGTTAAAACATTGTATATGTTGTCTGTACGGTCAGCGCTGACACGAGTTATTTATTCACTAAACCAAAAGCTATTAATTTAACGATTTCAAAGCCCTTCAGTGTGGAATCTACCCGACCAAACCTCGCGGCATATCGGCTTCGCCTTTGATCCCCGTTTCTGAAGGTCTCTTATTGGTTGTTAAATTGATTCTGCTAGCGGCATCATTACACATGGCTCACCGTATTGACTGGCATGATCGTCACCAATTTACTCAAAAACTAGGATCCGGTGTGCGAAACGCAAGAAATCGAAGCTATATCTTCTTATCCAGCAATCAGCCCGATAGGGATAATAAGTTAATGAATCGCGGCCCAGTCATAATGAACGAGTTTGGAGGCAATTGGGAAAATATCGATAGATCCATTTAAGCAGAATCGTTTAGTGCGACTGGAAGTAGAAAAGCAGTAATGAACAGACCTTTGTAAGATGCTCTGTGTAATCTACTCATTAAAGTTCACTTTCCGAGATTTTCCGCTTAGCAATACACGAGCTCAGCACATCGGAAACTTGTTTCGCTTAACTCATATAATAATTGCCGCACGATGATAGAAATCCATTTGATGGTTAAGTACAGCAATTAGGCGAGCACGAAATAGCCATATTAGTCGCTTAGTGTCAATCTTGATCTATAACATTTTTATAATAAAAGCGTTGAATGATGTTTAGACCGACTTAATTTATTTACTTGCTATCTTAATTATATTTTCTTTCGAGATAAAGGCCCTCTGGTGGGACTATGAGCTAATCCAGTCTATGGCCCACTCCGTGCATGTGTTAGATATCTTTCAATTATAAAGCTTTAACGGACCTTCTGTAAAACATAATTGAGTGATGAAAAATGATAGAGTGACTTTGATTCCATCAGTATTACAGTATTATTACAGACAATCTATCAGATAAATTCGTCTAGACCTTTTCTGCCCCACGCCACTGGAAGTAATGTAAGATGCGGTGCACCAGACAGTAGGTGCGCTGCACCCGCCCACACCATATCACAAAACCAGACAAATAGAAAAATTAAAGGGCATCTTTCTCTGAAATTGTTATTTCATATACTGTCTGAGAAATTACTATTTGACAAGGACTAGGATCAATAGCTTAAACTAGTGGGTTTTGTCGAATCGATGTTAAATTGTGCCCCCTCTTTGCTTCTGACCCCTTGGCGCAAGCGAATTATTGAAATAAATTTGAACCACATTTTGTGTCGATTGGGCGTTAATCTCTCTCTCTCTCTCTCTCTCTCTCTCTCTAATAAGGTAGAAATCACTAGTATGTATACATAATTTATATAAATAGATAAATAATATTCTAGTACTTGGCCATATACTGTACTTATATTTGTCATGTCTTCGCACAATTATATTGAATTGCCATCAGGCTTAATCGGATGTTCATTATTGGTCCAGTACCATTTAAATTGACGTGACAATGGAAAACTAAGTCACCCGAGGCCTCTTAGAAAAGCATTGATAATTATCTATATTGTTGATTTGATCACGTAGGTTTCTGTCACTAGAGAAGTCTACACGCATTACATCTAATCAATTCTGGTGAAAGAATCTATTTTTTAATATGCTCGTTGTATATCAGGTAGGTCTATAAACAGCCGTTCTATTTAGCTACAGTATTAAATTATTTCAATGATATACCTCGTGAATATAGGGTTGTTGCCCAAGAAATTTCTGCAGGATTTCCTTGTCTGGTTCTCGCGTCCGGTGATGCAGTCCAGGGGTGTGAGTTCAAGGACTGGCTAGGAAAAGCGTCTAATTGTTGTACGACAAACCTAGGTGAGTGGGTCCACGGGACTACTCGATGGCGTGCACGTAAAGCTACCTCATAGCATAATTCATGGCGCATGCCCCTACAGTTCATCTTCCAGGTTAGTGCAGAGGAGTAAGACGTTAAGCCCATTTCATTTCAATAAAATTCGTAAATGAAGAGCCAATAGACAGTGCAAAACTTTTTGAGTTGTCAAGTTGTGTGTTATGTACGCTTTAGATCATAAGGTCTTTCATGAAGTCAAGTGTCATGGTTTCGAGCCCAGTTGACGGTTAATATCTATTTGATAAGGCCAACTTCAAGTTTGGTCAAACGTCACGAGATATCGAGATATAAACGGGTGTATGTGGTGTGTGTGTGGGGGGGGGGGGGGAGGGGGGGCTATCGCTAATCCCAACCCGAACCCGAATCCCGGACCTAGCCCAAACGAGAGAGAGAGTTAGCGTAAAGGTAACCTACAATCTCACCAACAATCACGTGCCCTAACCTTATTTACATCTCAGCGACCTTGACGAAAACTGAGTTGGCCTTAACAAATAGTTCTAGCCCCCAGTTGATCAAGAAAGTACCTCGGTACTATCGTTTGGTGCAGAACAGTACGACTTTAAATCCCATTTCATTTCTCTTGTCCTCTTCTTTTCTTGTGCACAGTTAGTAAGTCACCCAAATCAACCGTTCATGGCCGCAACTTGACGAAATTGGATGTAAACCACTTTATTGCTCTAAACCTGTTGGAATGCGGTACATTCAATTTTAAATATATTACATACTACATGCGATAGCCTTTGGCTATTTTATCCAGATATATGTAGTCGTTAGGATGGAAGGCAAAAATAGAGGTCCCATCTACACATTGGCGTGCGCGGAAAAGAACCATTGAAGTTTTAATTTGAAATAAGAGTAGGCCGTAGCACCTCTATCCGGGCAAAATTCATTTAGCACACTGCATGGTATATGTCCGCCTTGATTAGCCCAGTCGGTGCAGAAAAATGGGAAGTCAAACCACATATCATTTTATCCAGATCAAATGATCGCGAATATCCGATAGCTGAGGACCATAAATTTTTTAGTTCGAATTCATATACTAATAATACATGTAAAAACAAGTGCT